CTTTTTGCGAGAGACTACATAACGGTATTCATCGGCATCCTACTCTCCTATCGTAGTCAATTTTAGATGCCTGCTATCCACCGGTGTGAGCGAGTATTGATATGCAAGCCCCCGGGCGATTCGAGCTCCAGGTTTTTGACCCCTGGTTCGCCTCTTCCTTGTGACAGTCTTTGCAGTACTGTCTGGTATCGCAGAGGCAGCATGAGTGTATAGAAAAAGCTGGATGCTCTTCTGTGTTGAAGGGCACATACTACCTGACAGAGACGCATCAGGTATGCGATTTGTTCTGTCGACGACGCTTGTCAAGTCACCTGTGTCTGTGCAGTAGTCGCTCTTCTGCTGTGGTGAAACACCCATGCAGTCCAGGAGCTAAAGAGCCCCACTGAGAGTGGCAATGGCTACCGTTATACGAAACTTAATCGTATTACAGCAGTCACTGCCCAGCCAGCTGGTCAGAGGTTTGCAGCAGCGCTTGTGTGCCGTAGGAATTAGGTTTGTACACATGCTACGAATTCACCGCTTGCAGTTATCACACTGCATTCCTTCTTCAACTGGAAACTGACACGTGACTATTCAGCAGCCATTCACTTTTGATGGGCATGGTTTTCAGAGTGAATTAGGACAATAAGATTTAAATGTTACTTTATATATATGGCCCTTATAAATCAGGGATAAAAAAGAACCAATGAGTGCACGAAAAGGGATACATATAACCATTAAATTAAAAGAACACTACTTCCTGTAATTAAATAGACTCAGAACTGAAACTTAAACCAACTTTGATACGAATAAACTAATTTAAAGTTACTCCATGAACTTTTGGAGCGTATAACACAACAACAGCCAAAATTAACCAAGAGTGTGTAAAATTTCACTCCTCTTTCCCGTGACGTGATTGCAATGAGTGATCTTCAGTCTTTATTAGATTTTGTGTGACCAGTTTCCTCACTTGCCTGTCGTAGCCATGTTGAAGTTTGAAGGTATTATTAACATGAAAAAGCTTGGGAGGGAATTTCGTGGCTAATTTTCAAAATAAAACGCTTCTGTGTCTGGTTTCAAACCCTCCAAAACCAATTGTTCTGTTCCACCACAGAAAAAAGAGAGTAACCGAAGTTATACCAGTTGTGCTCGTAATTAAATAAGAGTATCTAAAAGATAGAAATTAGAATGTTACGGATAACTTTTAGAGAGTCACACAATCAATTAAAAGGGGGAAACTCCAAGTTCAGGAAATAGTGACATTGTAAGCTAACCGATTGTGGTGGACATATCCTATTGCTATTGTCCTCCTTTTTTAATCGGTATGTTTGAGTCACCGCAGCTGTCTATTTTAGCCTCGCAGAAGCAAATCTGTGCTGCTACAATACAACTAAAGATTATTGGTCAGATTCTGACCTATTTTCGTTGCTGCCGTGATGTTTGTAGCGGCGAATTTCGACACTAATCCAACCACTCATGTGCCTTTGGAGATACATCTCTGATCAGACTTTTAAGGGAGATGATCTATAGTACAGGTAACTGATGATTATTCGCTAATGTGTGATGGGTTGGATGAGAGTTCCTGAATGACCATTGTCCCAGTCTCAATTAAGCTTAGCCCGTAATGAAAGCCTGTTTCAGCAGTGTACATCATAGTCATCTCTAGAGTGACCACGGAGGTATACGCACTGTGACAACTCTTCAGTTTCTAGCATCATTCCACAGTCTAACTGTGAAGTGTTTAGGTCTGTATATTAGACAACCTTGTCTAATAAGTTGCCGTTCGAGAGATTGTGCTTTGAGTGCATATTCCATCCAACGTTTTCAGTCCATATACAAACAGTAGCATTAGGTACTGCCCTTGCAGTGCATTTGGGAAGAAGACCAATTGAATTGTCCTAACGCTGTAGTTTGCATATAGTAGAACGATTTATGTGTTCATGGGACTTGAAGAATTGTATAAATCTACTAAAGACATTTTAATATTGAGATTCCACAAGTAACATTTAATAGTCCTCTGCAGATCTAATCATAACGGAACATGGCAGTTAAAACGTTACTGCGGAGATTAGTGTAGATCTCTCCAATTGATAGTGATTAGTGTTTTTGCCGACTGTCGCCTATCTCCATTGCCTCCGCCTTCTATATATTCACCTGTAATCCTGCCTTCGGTTCTTCTAGTTCTTACAGTTTGTGGCATATAAGACATAAGTCAAACGCGAAGTCCAAATATTTTAGGATTTTTTGTAATTCTTATATGTACCCGCCTCCTCGCTGCCCACCATCCTTCTCAGGAATATCTAATGTCAGGTATGATTGTAGCGTGTATTAAATTCAAAGCCTTCTCCAAGCTTTTTCTTGGGAATTCATGGGCACCCAGAATCATCACATAACTTTTTACATAGCTTTGTAAATATTTATCATCCTTCATCCCATAGCATTCCACCGCTTGTTGCGTTGGTTATGGTAAATTATTCTTCAACATCGAAAGTTATGAGATTCAGGGTAGACCACCATTAAGTACTTTGTTTGATGATAGGCGATACCGGAACTTGATTTCAGTGTCAGTTGTTTTTCCTGATTCCTGTGTGTCCTGAGAATCTTTCAGTCTTCCCTGGATATCTAGGCTTAATTTTTGCTTGGGGTATAGAAGAGTATAACATTGTGCCACTTCTTGCGTAAGTATCACTACCTCCTTTTACCCCTCCTTTGGTGGTGTGATGATGCCCTTTTCGTTCTATGGATTCATTTCCAGTTATTCTGAGGGAACAATATCTGGCTTTGCTGCTTCCCAAACTTTAGTTGCTTTGCTACCTATAAGACTTTTGTCTTTACTTGAAAGTTGATGTATACTGTTAGTCTTGTATCTGCTTGTAGTATTTCTGTGAGTTATATGTGATGGCTAATCAAAGATTCCTTTGAAGGGGTCACTTTAGCGTTTCCTCTGTTTCACCTGTTAGGCAACTGGGTTTACTTTACTAGCCTTCACTGGCTTCATTTCCGTTGATCTTCCCAGACTGTAACAAGGCAAACTAACTAATATTTGATACATGCAAGTTTATCAATTCGTTGAATGACCTGTAATTTTGACTATTCTGACATAACCTGTGGTTGTTGCCCCCCTCGACCCAAATTAAGTAGTGCTGATACAGTATAAAGTGCTTCTACATCTCTAAAGTAACTTTACCGACGTTACTTCATAAGATTCATCATATAAATGTCGTCATGACTTTAACCACCTGATGGAATGCATACTCCGCATATATGACTTGAAATATAGATTACTCCAGTAAATTGGCGTTCCTCACATATAAACAAAGACATATCATTATTCTCTACAGTGAATTGAAGTGGCTTTCACCTGCACTATTTTTTGTTTCAGTTGCCAGGGTGTTCAATGATTCTGATTGTTATTTTCTTAACCTATGTGTTAGCATGACTATCCCATATGATATCCTCCGTTGTCGGCTGCGTTTATTAGAGTTCACAGCACTTTATCTTCATGATTTGTAATCAATTTTCGACGGGTTCTTGGGCATTAGTTAGAATGTAGTCTAGTTTCGATGACTTTCCACTAGGGTCCCACCTGGTATCGTCTGCAACGTTCTCAGTCAGCCCTGTATTTCGAAGAGTTTGCAGTAGATTTCGGCGGAATTTTCTCTAGGCTTACCCCGAGCCAAGGTCTCGTGATGGGGCATTGAAATCTCCAGTTGTGGTGATTCGGTCATAGCTCAATTATTATTGTTGCCGATACATATTTATGTATATCAAATTCAAATTTAACCAGCTGACTGTTGTGACGTTTTCTTTATTTCTTTTGTCTGTCAGTCTGAACAGCCTCAATAATTATATATATTTCAAATGAACTGTAGTCAAGATTTGACAGAATAGTTCTAATTTGTTAATGTTAATTTCGATTAATTTCCCTGAAGAAGTTCGGACCAGATTGCCGAACGAAACGTTGGAATTACTCATTTCAATATCGCTGAGATTTTATAAATATAATTTTTTACAAATTATATATATATTATTACTATCTTTTATTTTAAAGATGATACCGAGGGAATGACTGGTGACAGTGGTAACAGTCTTAACACACCTCATACTACAAACCACATATAATTAGTCCCAGCACTGCTCCTTTTGGAGTCAACCAAAGTTACGATAGTCGAGTGGCGGGACGAGCTGCGCAGAAGTTTTCCGAAGATCAGGAACCTATACCTCACAATAAAGAGGCGAGCACAAAGAAATCAAACTGGTTTATACTGGCTCGAAAAACGACACCGGATTTCGGAATTCATTGAGTTCTGACTCTAATTTTCACTATGACTACCATTTTGATTGCTATTTAACAGGGCAGCTCCTTTTATAATCTGTAATTTTGCTTGTCTCTTGTTTCTATGATTTGAGTTGAACTCAGTGCATTGTTACCTAACTTATTAGTCACTATGCATATGACGCACAACTCATCTTTATTATGTAACTCCCTGGAAACTATATGCATGCATTTATTTTGAACTGCCTGTGTAAAAACTATATAAGCGCAATTTTCCGATCACTGTTTACTAATTGTTGAACTTTCTGTCAACTGACATCATGTAAAATTTGCAAGTATGTTAGAACGTTTCAGTACTTAAAACTCAAAATTTATTTAGGCTGTAAGCAGATGATGAGAAGCCAACGAAATAAATGATGGCACCATGTTATTCTGCACAAACCACTGTTGTTCTGGCTCTATTCAAATTCATCAAGGGGAATAAATGCATGAAGTAACAGTGGAAACATCTATTATGAAAGAATTTAGAGTATGGTTGCTCAACTCTTTATAGGGCTTCCAGATGCACAATCCATGTTGTAATAACGAGATATTAGAATCACATTATCTTTGTTTTAGTGAAAGGGAGGGAAATTTATTTCCTCAAGGTCGATCTCCCAGGTTGCCGGTAAGTCACACTCGAGCCTAACAAATCGCCGAGTTCAGCCTCAGAAAGCAGACACTTTACTATTAAATACACTAACTCATGAACTCGAAGAGTCGTCTTCCCGGTGACATGTAATTTTAAAACTCAGTCTTGCATATAATCCAGCTAGCAACGATCTCGGACACATTGCACGTTTTACTGATATATATATATATATGTATATATATCAGTAAAACCTGGGGCTTACGGTAGCATGTAATTCCAAAGTAATTTGTTTATTAGATATATCACACAGTTAAACAGTATTACTGATTACTGGGTGACGTTTCGAACATAATTTATTGTTCATAATCATATCAATTATAACCATGCAACTTCAAATATTTCATTTAATAGTTTTCTTTATTCTTCGCTATTTATCGTACGGGTAGTAGAATTTTACAGATGTCTGGATGGACAAGTGTTGGACCACTCCTATAACATGTGTTTTCAGTTGATTAAATAAAGCTTCCGTCATCAATCTCTCCCTCCACCCTGCTACATTAGATTTTAAAACTCACCTTATCCCATCCTATTGTATGGTCGTGTAATATCATGTAGTGCTATGGCTGAATTATTCTCCAGATTTCTTATCAGGGTCAACTAATCTAGAGTTTTCTACCCGGTTTTTACACTGCTAGTCTGACTGCATTTGTTCCACTACTTTAGCCTACATGATTAACCTGTTAATCATTGTAGGGTATTAGGAAAACTAGATTGCTTTGTTTAATTGGCTCCACAGCATCGATCTTTTAGCCGACAAAGGCTAAAGTAGTGGAACAAATGCAGTCAGACTAGCAGAGTGTAAAAACCGGGTAGAAAACTCTAGATTAGTTGACCCTGATAAGAAATCTGGAGAATAATTCAGCCATAGCACTACATGATATTACACGACCATACAATAGGATGGGATAAGGTGAGTTTTAAAATCTAATGTAGCAGGGTGGAGGGAGAGATTGATGACGGAAGCTTTATTTAATCAACTGAAAACACATGTTATAGGAGTGGTCCAACACTTGTCCATCCAGACATCTGTAAAATTCTACTACCCGTACGATAAATAGCGAAGAATAAAGAAAACTATTAAATGAAATATTTGAAGTTGCATGGTTATAATTGATATGATTATGAACAATAAATTATGTTCGAAACGTCACCCAGTAATCAGTAATACTGTTTAACTGTGTGATATATCTAATAAACAAATTACTTTGGAATTATCCATGGTTGGTGTTTTAGTTGATGATGATGGGGTTCCTATTTTTCGTACTTTTTGATTGCATGTTAGTAGTTTCTTTCTTAAATTGCTTCACAATTATGTATTTTGTGGAAATCCAGACGTGTAGTTTTGAGACTGGGAATTAGCTTTCTATGAGGGGAAATTCCCTTTGATTCAGATCATGTAGTTAGTGCGGTATGTTAAGATGGATGCGTTGAAAGGATGCATAGTCTTTTACATTTTAGGAGCAAATGTGAAAGTATATTTACCTTGCTGTTCACTTATCTTCTATTTAAGGGCAGTGTTATATGTAACATAGGTATCACCACTGATTAGTATAACAGTGCTAAGAAAGGAAAATTAATTTTATGTAGTATTTCATATGGATTTCCTGGAACAGTGTCAATTGTGGAAATTCATTGATTTCATTGTTACGTAATGTCTAGTGCCCCTTCAACTCAGTCGAAATTTATCTCCCAAATAAAATCCCGTCAAAGTATTTACGTGATTCCAATGATAGCTCAGGTGGCCCCTGAAATATAAAGAATATGATCATATTCTCCATAGTGAATATTACTGATAAAAGACAATCCATGTGGTAGCTTTATTTGTTTGAGAGAGCCACATTTGGAGTATGAAACTGTCAGTTTCATAGTTGAAGATAAAGAACAGCTATCCAACCAAGTGCCTAGATCAGTATCTTGAAGTGTTCAGTCAGGTTTTGTAGGTATTAGTGAACATATAACGGGTCAGATGAGTTTATTATCAATGATGGGCGCTTTTCGGACTTTATGTAAATGTATTATCGAGTTAAATGCTTTAAAATAGTTCGTATTTAATTTCAACACATCATTCTAACCTTTATAGTATGAATGTTGACCAGGTGATAGCTTCAACTGAATATCACTGTCGAAGTGTTAGCATTTATTGCATGGAGTAATATTTAGTTTTATTGGCACACTGTTAGAACACTTTACAAATTAACGTTGGCTATACATGCGGAGTATTCCTTTCTTCCTCTCGTAAAACTCTCACCTTGCGATTAAAGTTAAGTGGGATTTGTAGCCAAGTCAGATCTGTACATTGGCACATTGCCTCATTTCTATGGAGGCCCTCGTGTTCAATTTCTATGCTTACCATACATTACCTTTGTTCTGTGGCATAAGTGTAAAGCTGATCTGTTGAAAGCAGTCTACTTTTTACCACCAGGTTACAAATGCAAAAATTTCTATTCCTGACAATGTTGGGTAGCCAGGTAGCATGATGAGCCTTCTTAATATATGTGGCTCAGTTCCAGGTGTATGAATGAGCTTATAGCTCTTGAATAAAAGTCTTACAGCTTTAGTCATTACACTTTTTGCAAATGGTTCAAAGTTAGTCTGTCGGTTTGTTTATTTTGCACAACAAACTGCATAATTTTCATCACCGGATAGTTTTTATGTCTCATTTACAGTAGTAAGTCTTGTTTCTCTTCTTCTCTCTACAATAGTCGAATTCCTGATAACATGGTAATTGAGAAGGAACCAGATGCTTCAGAGATACAAGGTCCTGAAAAAAATCCATTGCCAAATTATGGTCATTCTCTGCATAAAGCTGACTTCGCTCAACGACCAATGTCCATGAAAAAATTTCTCGAACCTTTTGATCATGGTAGTTTGACTAATACCGAAGCTGGCGAGAAATATGCAGCATACAAAGCCAGTTATGCTCGCCAACAATTGGAGGAATTTTTTGAACGAAATAAGGCATATGCTTGGTATGTATTCGTGATAATTATATTTATATATTTGTATGTATGTACGTCAGAAACTTTGCTTGGATAAACTATATTTTTAAAACAATCTGTTGTACACTTAAAGTGTAAGCTTGACCTTTCATTAGGGTACAATTCAGATACCTTATTTTCCTCCAGACACTACAACTTACAGTGTTTCTATCTGAAACGTTATTTCTCTTTTCAAGACAATTTTCATATTGCTCTGTCGTTTTCCATGATTTTGTACGCTACATTTTTAAATACTTTATGTTTAGTTAACCAGGTGGTATCGTTAGCTGTCTCAGATTGTCATTTTCAGTTACGTGCAAGTAACATTTATTAGTGTTTACCGTGATATATATATATATGTATATATTAGGTGGTTTTCTAGTGTAGTAGACTGAATTCCCAGAATATTTCTTTGGAATCAAACACTGGGGAAAGTCATTCTTAGGGTGTTTGTAGTTCTTTTAACTGTCTACCTGAATAAAACCATGACAACAGATTTATGGTTATCCGTCCTCCAAAGTGTTCTTCTTTGGTTTCTAAGGTAACATCGATTATTCAAGGTGGTTTTTAGATCTAGAGACGTCGATTGATGATGTATCTGTTGTGTAAATCGGATTGTGCAGGTGACAACAAATTTTTATGTAGCTAAGCTAGTATCCAGTCTAGTTTTCTCTTGACAATCTCTGGAATATTAGACAGTGAAGAAGACAGGAAGTTGTTTTATTCAGTAACATAAATTTCTTGGTTATCATCCCACGCCCTACTGGGGTGATAGGTAGTTTACGTGATGCACCCCGAGAAGGCAAACAGATTTTCGAACCGAGAATGGCTAGGAATATGACGTGTCAGAACTAATCGTGGGAGAGAGGTGGGATTGGCTTCTTCTAGTGATATACGTAAAAAAGTAGCAATATAAGTTTAAAACCTGGGCACTAGGTAGAGTATAACTCCATTATGGACAAGATTTTATTTTGATACAAATCACACAGTGTTGTACGGTTATATTATCTGATGACGTTTCGAGCACAAATTATTGCTCACAATCATATCAAGTCACTACTCACACAATTTTTTGCTTCATTTATATACATGAGTAGCAATAGTTTTTGCAAGCGCTGCCCCATTTCATGAATCAAGCGATCTTTGTGAAGATGTGAGTAAAACCCTTTTTGTTGGTGAGAATAGTTCGACATTATGTGCATAAACATGCTGGATTTAAGGATTCATCATTATATGTGGATAGAGTGTGCATCGCGTGCCTACCTTATGATGTCTAAATCCATTCACATCCATCTAAAAGGTATACGGGTAAGTTTATCTGTGACTTCTATTTCTGGGTTAGATGCTGAGTGCGGTTAGAATAAGTATTAATTTTGACAGACTGTAGAAAGTAAGCACCGGTTCACGTCATTAGATGCATCCTATAAAATAGTAACATTGGAGAAGTTGATTAATTTAAATTTCCCCCTACTTGCTGGAACTTGTTAATTATTCGATTACACTTTAACTGCAACATATACTAAGGCACAACTTTTATTTTGTAAGATCTTGTTCCACTTTCTAGTTAAGTAACTTCAGACTGACATTCAATTGCTTAGTGACTTGAACGTATAATCCATGTAATTATTTTGTGCTGCCCTTAAATTTACCTATAAGGGTTGAACGTGTAGTTCATCGGCTAGACAAGCAACTTTCAACTCGTCTTCGCGAGTTGGGGCCACACTTTCAATCTACGAAGACATGAGTAGCGCTCACAAGGCAAACACATTGTACATTGCTCAGTGCATGAACCTGCGAGTATATGTCGAATTACTTTCCATTCTTTTATTCCATTAGTGTTGTTACTAGGTCAAGTGGGAAGGTTTATCAACCAGTCATTTTAATCTGAGAATTTTTATCATAATCCAGTAAAACCACTTCATCCAGCATATTAACTGCACTAAACGTTCATTTCTCGCTTTTGTAGTCTTAGTATATTTAAAAATAACTATATAAAGCCAACATTGTAATTGTGTATGTTTATTTTTCTTTGTTTTGTTGTTGTCTAATTTAGGTTTCGTGAAAAATATCATCCAGATTACTGTACAGAATCAGCGTCCAATACAAAATTATTTGAAAAGCGTTTAGAAATCTTCATGGAATTTTACAAAAATGGATATTTTAACAGTCTGCATTTAACTAGTGGTTATGAAAAAGAAATTGTCCGTCTGTTAGACATGGGTAAGTGGAATAAGAAGAAAAGGCTTGTCTTATCATTTTCTCTTTCAAAAAGCAAAACTTATTTTATGGCGTTCAGTAACTGGAAAACTACTTGTTATTACAGACTGGGTGAAGCTACATCGATTATGATGGCTAGGATACATGTTACACATACCGAGCAGTGTTATCTGTCAGCGGATTAGACTGGAAAAGAGTTAGGGGTGGTAATATCAGAACTTAGCATCAATATATGAAGTCTTTGACCGTTGAGTTGAGCCACTTAGGGAGGTGTAGTTTGGCCAACTGGGTGAGGGGAGCATCAAAACGCTAAGAACCAACAGATGAAGAGTGTTGGCGTTATTTTTTCATTCCTTTATGTTCCCAGTTGGGCATAGGGCTTCGAGATACAGGCTTGAAGTTTCTGTAGCAGTGGTGTTTATTGTTACGGGATGGGGTTGCTAGCCTCATGCGCAACCTTCCCTCTTTGTCAGTCCTATTACTGACTTAGCAAGGTAAAGGAGTGAGTCGGCGGCTGGCGATCGCACCCCGGACCACCTGCATGACTGGCGAGCACTCTACCGCTGTGCCACCGACGCCATTAGGGTCATGACTCAAAATTATTCTCACGGGTGTAGTCTTCCAGATCTATTAAGTTTTCATGTCTGACAATGTAATTCATTTTTTATCCTGCGCATTTCTGTTCATAAATATTTTTTGAATTTCTTTTCTCTATACCTTTGTCTACTATATGGATTATGGCAACTGGAACTGTTGCGCTTCTGTACATAGTTCTACTTTGAAAACTCAGTCAGTCAATGTAGAATGGTAAATAAAATATTACTAATGACATAGTTTCCTGCTTGGATTTATGATTGTAGTTTTATATACTGAAATCAAGTTGGAAATCTTTTAATATATTAATTAAACTTTTCTTTTTGTTCACTCTATAATGAAAACATCGTCTCAGAGTATTAGTGAAAACAAGTCTCTTCTTCACTTCACTTTTAGTCGCTGGTTTTCAGCACTATAACATTTTAGATTTACAACTGGTGTACATATATGATTGTTGATTCGCTTTCCAGTTACGTGTTAAATTTCTTCTCCAAATTATAAATTCAAGGAAATAAGTCATGCAGATTTTATTACCGACCAATATCATTTGAAGAGTTTATTGAAAGTAAAGAAGTACTTGCGACTTTTCAGCCTCTCTTCTCAAGTTACAGGCCAATCCCACTAGATGACTTTGAAGTCGTTGGTGTGCACTGCCGAAGAGTCCTAGATTAGGACAAAACGGGTGTCCAGTACTTCCTTGATCTTCAGTGTTTATATATATATATTTATATAACCATCCTTATGTTTTATTTCACTATGGCATTCTTTCAATAATCCTCAGTGAAAGATTAATTCACCACATACACTGAACCTATGTTATTCTCTGCACCAATTTACGCTATTACTCTGTTCAAATCTATAAAAGAGAATACATGTGTGTGTGTGTGCGTTTGTATGTAGAATAAATGATCCCTTTTGCGTTTATTATTACCACTGGTTTTTTCTCTACCTCTGTGTGTTGATTTTGTCAGTTGCCATCAAACTTGCCGGTGGTACAGATGAAGATTTTCAACTTTTGGATAAATTTGTTGAACAACAAAACTTGAAGAGATCTGATGCTTTAAGCCATGATAAATCTAAACATAGAAAAGAGAAAAATACTAAATCATCATCATCATCAGACGAAGAAGAAGAAGACGAAGATAAGGATAAATTGAAGTCGAATAAAAAGGCTAAAAAGAAAACAGTAAGATTTTATTTTAATTTTTTCGAAAAATAATCGAAAAGGTTTGTATACAACTGGTATGTACTACTGATTCATTGATATATAAGTAGTTGTAAACCAATGACATCAATCAGCAGTAGCAGTACTTGCCTGCTAGCCAGATCATCATCGAAGTGATCTGAATACTAAACAGACGTTTCGCTTGTTTTTGACGTCGAACTCATCAGCGGTGGCGTTATCCAGTTTGTCATATCTCACAGAGGGCAGAATCAGTTCAAACTTTTTCTATGTAAACGGATCAAATCACAGGAAATCAAATACAATTTATGATGTTAACGAGGTCGTGATCTGAAGAATTTTTTGTTTCCAAGGGGAACTGGTGAAATCTCACCTCGAATTTGATTTGAGGTTTGTACAGATTAGGTGTAGATGTCCGTTGTCCATTGTCTGAACCTGATGATTTATCCTTGTGAAGCTCTCAGCATGAAGTTATTAGCGCTGAAAATGTTGTCCAGTACGACGATAAGAACTTCAACTGGTAAATTATCCATCTCAAAGAAGACAACAAACACCATTAGATTTTATTTTAACCGAAATATATATATATATATATATATATATATATATATATATATATATATATATATATATATTACTTGAAGGCAGTTATCTACATTGGATTATATAATCAGCTAGAAAGCGATAAACTATCAGGACATACTAAATAGCTGTTTTGGTCTGGTGTAATTATTTTAGTGGGATGTACACACACTCACCCACAAACTAATAACTTCTTAATCAGGCTCCATTATGAATAGAATTTTATTTTGATTAAGTCACACAGTGTTGTACGGTAATATTTACTGATGCGGCCACGTTTCGAGCACAAATTATTGCCGCTCATAATGATATCAAGACACTGCTCACACAATTTTTCACTTCATTTATATACATGAGTGAAATTGATGATTAGATATTTGAATAAAATCAATATAACATAAAGTACATTCGGAAATAATAATGAGTGTTATCAATAAAATACAACAAGATGGGAAATAAGACGAGTGTTGTCATAACTTGTTAGAATGTTATAATGTGAACTGAATACATTTTAAGATTATTTACTATCCTCCTCTGATTTCACTGGTGGTAATAATATCTTCCATATCTCTGGTATTTGCATTGAGTCACTTCTATTGTATGTGTTCAGTGTAGACTCGAAGGACGAGAATTCAAAAATACCTTTCAATGACTGTCAGTTAAGTCAACTACATAGGTTAAAGTAGTAGGTCGGGGGCAGCCAGATTGTCGGAACATAAGAATTTAGCTAAGGTCAGAATAGTTGACCCCAAGAAGATAAGTAATTTGGAAAATAGCTCAGCATTGCATTGCACTGCATGCATTAACACACAACCACACAATAAGGTGCGAGAGAGTGAAAATCCTAAGAAGTAATATAGGTAGACGGAGAGCAAGAGAGATTGATTGCTGAATCCTGGTTCATCAAATCTACAGACAACGCATACAATAAAAGCCACTCAACGCAAATACCCGAGATGTGGAAGATATTATTATTACCAGTCATTTCAGAGGAGGATAATGAATAATCTTAAAATGTATTTCAATTCACATTATAATAATCTAACAAGTTATGACAACACTCGTCTTATTCCCCGTCTTGTTGTATTTGATTGATAACACTCATATTATTATTTCCGAATGTACTTTATCTCATATTGATTTTATTCAAATGTCTAATCATCAGTTTTTACTGATGTATGTAAAGTCCGCTCCGTCCTTCTTTATGGTTGTGAGACCTGGTCACTGAGAGTGGAAGACATGAGAAGACTAGCTGTCTTTGATCATAGGTGCCTGCGTTCTATTTCCCGTGTAAAGTGGCATAATAAGGTGAGCAACATTGAAGTTAGGCGTCGAGTGCTAGGTAAACAGGGGAAATCAATCGACGAAGTCGTGAAGTTACAAAGACTGAGATGGTTAGGACATGTGTTACGTATGCCAAGCCATCGCCTCCCTTGACGAGCAATGTTAGCGGATATAGGGTTAGGCTGGAAAAAAGCTAGCGGCGGTCAAACAAAAACTTGGCACCACTCAATGAAATCCACAACAGTTGGTCTAAGCCACGCAGGTAGGTGTAGACTTCCTAACTGGTTGGGGTCCTCGGGACGGTAAAAATCTATGGTTGGAAACAATTGGTGACATGTCTCAAAACCGTTCTCAGTGGCGCAGATGCATCCACTCCCTGTGACTTATGATCTTCAATGAAACTGTTTTGTATTTCTTTATTACTCCTTTGTCTCACACCTCTGCTCACTGTTTTTATTATACTTTTCTTGTGCTTTCTTCTCTTGCTTCGCGTGCTACACGGAATGTGGCGACTTGAACTTCCGCACATTTGTGCAAAGTTTTATGTCGAAAATAGACAGACAGACAGATGTATGTAGATGAAGCAAGAAAGTTGTGTGAGTGCATTGATATGATTATGAGTGGCAATAGTTTGTGCTCGAAACTTCGTTCTCAGTAAATATTACAGTACAACACTGTGTGACTTAATCAAAATAAAATATTATCCATAATGGAATAAATCTGTTCCACAGTGCCCAAGTTTTATTCTCAGTGAGACGTTGGAGGCATTACCATCCTTCCATGAGGTCGTCAAGGTTAGGAAATATAAACAGTTAATGTTCATTCCGTCCACAGAATAATAAAATGTTCGTCACAAGACCTGATTTTTTCGAGTTGGATGCATGATTGAATTTTAGGCGTAAGCTGTTGAAGACTTATAAATTGGAACAAATTTCTAATGTCTAATATTCTTCCACTTTGTATCAGTTGTCAAGTTCATCTCTGCCTGTGATAAAAACTATTTTTCAAGCAATCAATCAACCAATCGATCGGTCATGAGCTCTCTCGTACATGATTAGGCGTTGTTTATACGACTTATGATCGAAGTAGTTTTTGTTGTTGTTGTTGTTGAGTATTTTTAAGCTTTGTCAGCCGCAAACATAAAGGCGGACATTCCATGTCCCTATGATTTCATCAAAAGAAGATATATCAATAGACTGGTTTATCGAAAGTTGTCTTCGCCTATTGTCATCCGTATTTCCCGATTAAAGCAGAGAATAATTTTATGTCTTTTTGTACTTTGAAGTTTTTGTAGCGACGAGGTTGTTTTTCTTCACGGGTAGAGTTCGCTAATCCCATGTCTAAGCTCCCCTCTTTTCTGGCCTTAGGATCAGCTGTGGTAAACTAGGAGAGAACAGATGGTGGTAGGGTCAGATAAAACTGACTACAGAGAACAGAGCACAGTAGAGATGTACTGTTGATTCTCTGTATTTCACACAAAACGCAAGGGACGAGTAATACTGATATATAATAATTTTTAAGCATTTGATAAGATCTCCATAGAGCAAAGTTTTGTACATTCTGGTGGCTATTAGCAAGATCTATCAAGAGTATCCTAAACTGCTTGTAAATTTATTGATGTATGCCTTGTCGTGTCTTTTTCTGTGTGAATGTATAGCCTCTTGGCTTAAGTGAACGACTTTGGGACGAAGATCGCGAGTCCGAATCCAAACGCATCTACTTGCACCTGTAGAGGTAGGAAGTACCATCATTCCTTACACGATGAGTGTGGTGCATAGATTATTGTATAGAAAAATCTGTTTTTGGTAATTGAATTCTAACTAGTTAGATTAAACTGCCTGTTGGGCATTCAATAAAAGGGATGCTAACTGTTGGAAAGATAATATCTTCTATGTTCATGCTTATAACTGTATTTAAAGGCCTAAATGGGCTTGAAAGTGATATCATGAAATTGTGTTGGACTACTTAATCTCATGGAGGTTGATCAATACTGTCGTTATCAGATTTCGGCTGATTGCAGAATTAACTTCGTAGTGATTAATGAGCTTATTTATATGTATATATATATGTTTGAAAGTAGTTATCTGCGTGTAAAGATGATCAGGAAAGGTTTGCGTGCTTATGGAAGTTGGTTTATTCTTTGGGTACCTAAGAGCAGAAGGAGCATTAGTGCTACGTAATCGGAGACCCGTGAGCAAGGAGAGTATATGACGTATCCCTTTTTTGAAGTGGTGCCACCTTTATCCCGTGGGTATTAAAGCGTTTCCATGAATAGGCCAAAATTAACTAGCATGATTTCCTGCAAATTCAAACATATACGTTTAACTTGCCTAGGTGGCACAGCGGTTAGGACGCTTGCCAACCATGCGCATGGTCCGGGGTTCAATCCGCGGCCGACGCACACCTGATATCAATGGTAGGCCTGCTAAATTTGGGCTACCGATATCACATGCTGAAAATTCCATAATTGTATCAAAATATTGCGCGGAATCAAGCCATAAATAAAAAAAATAAAATAGTTTCCGAACTTACCATCTCCCTTAATCGATTACATTGCTCTGACATAAGTAGCGAACGGCATTTTCTGATAAAAGTGCAGCAAATGTAACGCAGTTCAAGAGTACAACGCCACTCATAATATGTATGTCAGGAAAAATTTCATTTAAGAAACATGTAAAATATATCAGTTGTCCTTAAACCACCGTAACAACGGACTACTATGCTACAATTAGCGGGGATGTGCAATAAAGCTACTGCAACTGCTTAAGGCGTAGTTACACATAGTGTGTTTGAGTTATTTTTTGAAGGTGTATCTCAATTTAGATTTTAATGTCGATTATGGATCACCGCAAACTAATTCGGAATGCGCAATTTTCGGGGTCAACCTTCTCTAAGCCCCCTTCGCCAGATCAGAAAGGCAGTATATCTGACTTGCTAGTCGTCTGAAGGAAACAAGCTATAACTGTTTATCTCAGCAATATGGCTTCTCCAGGACACCATACACACCCCCCTCAAAAAATAGTACAAACAACTTACACTATGATGATAACTGCTTTTAATGTAATCGCTATCCAAACACCCTTTCTGACATGGTAGAATATCATTTTTCAGCCGGTCTAGCTCGTTAATTCATTGCCATATACAATTGTACATATGAAGCTGTCTATCAAATGAGACAAATTCATAACATGTATTATTCCTTTAATAAGTTATCGTCAAAACTTTTATTTATATTTTTAAGTATTGGTTAGAGGATTTCATCATGAGCTGACATCAGTTAGAGAACCATTGGTAAACCTGCAGGGGTTACTGGACAACCGTTTCATCAGCCTAGTTTGAAACTCTTTAGCAGTACGCACCCACCACCAGGGTTCGAACCCGGGACGTTCTGGTTATAAGGCCAGCCAGCTCGTGAACCGTTAAGCCACTGAGACCCTATCCAATGGTCAGTTCATGAATTCTAACTTCTGCCAATTCACGCACGATATAGCGTGACCACTTCGCAATGTCTTCTTCGATGACTAACTGTCTCACCTTTAACCTGCTGCACCCTACTGGTTTATATATATATATATATATATATATATATATATTTTCAAAAGAATGGATACTGAACAAAGAGTACTCTTTTCGATAACCCCTTCATCATCAGGCTCTACATTTATATATACATTATAGTGAATGAATGAGTTAGTGTTATGAACGACATTAGTGCTGTTTAAATAACATCAAATCAATAATACTGATAGATTACAGCTGTATCGCATCAACATAAAATAAGCTGAATGTCAGAAGAATTAGGAAGGATAATATTACAAATTCATGAGTTTATAGTTTCTACTGAAGGCCAGGGCAATAGTAGGTGCTGGACTTGCTTCTTTTAGATACAGAGCTCTGGTTGTTTGAGGTGAATCGAAATAGCCTCTGCTGTTTGGAGCCTGCGGCGCTTCGATGTTTTTGGCAGTTTATTTGGCACCCGGTATAATACAGAGGAGGATTCATCTACGCTGGCTTTGTGGCCGGTTTGCACCAGATGTTCCAATATCGAGCTTTTAATAGTTTTCACTAAACCCTTACTTAGCCATGCTGGGAGATGTTCCCGAGCACGAAAAATCAAGTTCCTAGAGCAACGGCCAATATAACTCGCTCCACTACAAGCGCAGTTGAATTGATAGGTACAATTAGAAGTGGCTAGTTTAGGTACTTCATCTTTCAGTCGAGGAATCACGATCAGTCGTGTGGAGAATAATACGTGTAGTTCAGCATTAAAAGTTCTTTGAACTGATTTTCTTAATTTCTTCGCAATTATCTCGCTTGGTATACCGCCCATGAATTGTAATCGTATATAAAGAGGCTTCTTTTTTATATTTATTTATTTTTCTTTTTTCTTTTCTAGAAACGTAGAACAAATTCACACAATCGTCAATCTAAATCAGAAAAATTAAAGATACGTAAAATGAAGAAACTTGCACGTCGTCAAGATCATGAAGAAGGTGAAGAAGATAGCAGTTCAAGCAAAGACGATGAGAGTAATAGCAGTGGAAGTGATAGTGATGATGATGATAGTCGTCATACCAGAAGTGGTTCTAGTTCAAGCAGCAGTAGTAGTGCTAGTAATAACGACAACAGTTCTAGTGAGAGTAGCTCTAGTGGCAGCAGTGATGATGATGAGGAGGAGGACAGCGATGGCAACAGCGATAGCAGCAGTAACAGTGGCAGTAGTCGAAGTAGCAGTAATGATGAAATAAAGAATAAAAGAAAGCATAATACTACTTCAGGTAGCAGTAGTAGTCATACCAGTGATAGTGATAGTGAAAGTGAGACAAATAGAAAACAGAAAAAGAAACATTCTAAACTTTCGAAAAAACCTGAAGTCAATGCAAAAGCTCATTCTTCACAGAGTCGTCGTCGTCGCCAACGAAATCATGAAAATCGTCAGTCAAAAAATGTATTCACCTTCAGTTCACTTGAAAATCAACAGAAAAGTGAAGCCGTTAATGATGAATCAAAGTTGGATACACCCGAAGAAGGTGAAATGGATACAACATTTGCCTCGGAAGACTTGACTGATCATCTGAATGATTCCAAGTCAATAGATATGGATAATTCTATTTCTGAGAATAATAAATTCACAGAAGAAGCCAATGAAAATTCACAAAAAAATTATTCAACTCGGAGAAATGAACAGATACGTCATCCTATTCATTGTACTGCCCTGCTATTTCTACCGCATATACCCTTCAATATATTTAAACGAGATTTAATTTCTGTAAGTTTATAAGAAGTCAGTAGTTGAACATTTATGAAGTTATTATCCTCCCCCTCCGCACACACACTCTCTCTGGGTACTCCAGTCATAGAGTGATGATTTAATAGCATGTATAATTCAGTAGCTGTTATGATGTCACCATTTTTATATTTCTCTATAACAGTGAGATTGAAAAAAAAGGACGCCGATAGGGGAGCGCAGACGGGTATTGCTTGACTACGCCAACAACACTACACGACAGCTACCTGTGTTCCCCAGTCCGTAGAACTTAAGTGAACTGAAAAGTATATTTCAGTGTCAGTCACGAATACTCTACATAATAGTGTACGATTCAAAAAATCACCAAGGATATGTCAATCAGTCTATAGACGTGTTCAATAAATTAGTGGGCATTGTTTTTTACGTGGGCCGATTCTGATTTTTTCATTTCCAGACTAGATATCGATTTCTGCATCATCATTAAGTGGATAATACACTCTTTATCTATTGTAGAGCTGTAGCTCATTGGCCTAGGTGCTGTGTGCGTCATTAATTTAATGTGATATAAAGTTAGGTTAGCCTATAGTATGTTAAAAATATGAAGCTGTTTAGCTGTCTGTGTGCCATTGTAACAACAGAAAATAAGAAAATTGGTAACGGACTCTTTTATCAAGGAGAAATGCATCATATTTATACACTTTTAGCCACATTAAAAGTTTGCTATGTCAGCGGATAATAAACTGCTGTGATTGGTTGCCAACTGGCTCTAGGTCAAGTAGTAGAACGAAGAGTTGTCCAATGAGATTATTTCATGGCCACAATGCAGACTAAATCCAGATTTGAGGAATACACACTTCTACCTGAGCAGCCATTGACTTAAAATGTTGATTTCAGTTTTTGTCCGCTTCCTAGTGATCTGCATCTGTACAGCACACGCATATCATTGGTTTTATGAATCGATTACCGTTTGCCTAGTTCCAATGGTCCATCTAAACCCTTTCACGGTTTTTTTAATCTAGATAACTGAGTGGCATAGTGTGATTATGTCCCATAGACTAGTGCACTGATTTGTATGAAACATCTGAATTGTGATAAATTAAGTTCAGCGAGTTGGGTGTCCGAGGGTCACATGGAGGAGACCGTATGAGGAGATAAAGACAGCTTATGGGCAATCGTGGAGCCAGCTAAAAAGGACCGCAGAAAACAGGAAAAATGGAGACGTTCTGTTTAAGCTCTGTGTTCCACTTGGAACCCAAGGGAATGAAATAATAATAGGTGGAAAATGTGAACGGAATTGGAGAGAAACCACTGTTAACAGTAGGGTGTACATTACTGGTCTGTTTTCACTCCTCAATTCTACTTACAAAGTGGGTATATTTTGTTCTCCAATATTGGGAACTTATCAAGTGAGAAATGAAATTAGAATTGTACTCAGATTGGCTTGGCTCGAAAAACGCAATGGTTTTATGTCCCTATGAAATACTCAGTTTGACGTGGAATTTCTGTGTAATTTTTCTTGAAAACGGAAGTTATTCAGACTGCAATGTAGCATTTGCTTGTGACATCGTAAGTGATGTCAATATTTCAAGTATGAAAGCTATTTGGTATATACTAATGTCTAACTTGTGTGTCGGTAGTCCGAGGTTCGATTCTCGGCTGACTCACTCCTTAACCTTGGTCCAGTTTAGTATTTAGTAGCAAGCCCGGAGAAAGAGGGAAGGTTAGACTTGAATCTAGCAACCCCACTGCGTAAAAACAACACTAACGGCACCGAAACTTCAAGAAAACTTCTATGTTCCCCTCGAAACGCTAAGAAATGAACGAGAGAATGTCTAATGTGAGTAGTTAGAAGCCACTGAAACCAATTCTCTGTATTACCTTCTTATTAAGTAAACCAAAGACTACCGAAATACCTATCCATATGTAACATCAATTCATATTGAGGATCTTGTCTAGTCCATCAGTCTGATTGCATCAATAGTTCTAGTTATGTACCGCTGAAATGCTCCAAATTAGGTTACTTCATTTCTTATTAGTTTATTAGTTTCACACTGGAATGCACTTATATCATTCGAACTCAAGCCTTAACCTATTATTTTAAATGCCCAATTATTATGAACAAGGTTGCGGAGCCTTGCAATCCACCTTGTTTATTCCCGTGATTTCCTGTTCAAGCGTCTAATTTAGAGAATAAGGCTGGTCAGTTCGCTTCAGAAATATCAGCGGGAAGTCGTAAGTACAGGTGAATAGTAGTACTAGTGTAACAACAGAAGACAAGGGCCAGCCAAACAGATCGTTTATTAAGGAAGTCAACATATATTTATAGATTTTCATGTACATATTATAGATCATTGTTAGCAGAAAGACAGTCTTCTGATTGGTTGTTTCTCACAGAAAGTTAACCTTGCATCTCTTTGTGGCTGTTTCTTGAATGTCAGATCATATATATGTTAACTGTATCCACCCACGCAAAGCCTTTGTTCTCATTTTCCTCACGACCAATATTGGGGACATAAACATTGACGTAAATTACTGTCCACCAATTTTGGCTAACAGCCAGCTCTCACCACACTAGTAGTAGTTTTGTGTGTGATTTCTACCTCAGCTACAACAGTCACTGTGGAAATTCGACTTATTGGCTCCAGGCACTTGACTTTCAGTGGATATTTCTTGGAATATGAAACTCATTACATGTATTTCAACCTAGGCAAGTGAATGGTATCATCATCGTTTACATAATAAATATGTCAAATAGCCAAGTACACTTGGAAAACTGTACTAGTTGACTCTGAGTTCTAACTGCCTAACCAACCACAACTCTGTGTAATCATTGCTGGTGTCTGTTGGTGGCCTATTCAATTCATCAACAAATTTTTGATTTTATAGGGGTTTGATCACGAACCTCTGGAAAACTAAGGAGTACTGGACGGCTGTTTCGTTCTGGTTTATAACTCTTCGGAAGTACGCATCCACCAGGGTTCGAAACCAGTGCTTTCCAGTTACAAGGCGAACTCACAGATCACCCACCCAGCCACCATTTGTAGACCATTAGATTGGTTTCTAGTGATCCTGGGTTTAAACCCCTGTAGGTGCGTACACTGAAGAGTCCCAAACTTGAACGAAACAGCTGCTTTGTTTAACTTTAGTAAGTTTCTATGCACTATATATTTGGTTAATTTTATGATGATATCAAGTAATCCTTATCGCTCCTCATTATTGTCTTCTCTCTCTCTTTCTCCCCCTTGTTTTTCTCCCGTTTCTTTCTCCTCTTAAGGTATTTTCTACTTCACCTCATTTCTTACGTTTAGCTGTTTTAGATCCAGTTATTATGCCAGATAAAGATTCTCCACCGATTACAGATCCTGATGAAGTATTTGTTACAGTGAAGAATGCTTTACCCAAAATTTTATTAAAACGCTTAGGATGGGCATCGTTTGTTTCACAGTATAAAGATGATACTACCACTACTCCTACTAATGACAGTAATAATAATAATGAAAATGGAAATACTAATGATAACAATGACGGTGATAATAAATGGGTTAATATTGATTTAACTGTTATTAGAAATCAATTAATTCAACATGCAATTGACTGTAATGCTTCTAGTGAGATAATCGATTGTCTACGTTTATCCCGTCCAATTAATGAACCTTTTAAAATATCGTTTAAAGAACGAGCTAGAAATAGTGGAGAATTATTCAGGAAATTGTTAAATACATGTCCAACAAGTATTCGATCAAAAGCATTAGTTCGACGTCATCTAGTCATGGCAGCACGTGTTATTCATGAATTGGATAAAGCTAGAGGTTTATGGTTAGTTGATTGTAGCAATGATAATACTTCCCAGCATGTTGTAAGTAAAGACGATGAAAGGGTGTCAAGTGAGAATGAAGATGGTGTAAAGCAAGATGATGGATTAACTACTACGACTACTGTTACTGCCGCGGGGGGTGGTGAAGATGGAGAGGAAGGTGAAGAGGGTAGAACAATAACTGGTGAATTAAAAGGCAAAGAAAATAACGAGATGCAAGTGAACAATAATCATGAGAATAAATTATCCGATGATACTACTGTTACTACTAATACTATTGCTACCACTGTTCATAGTCCAAATCATCAAGATCAAACAATGGAAGTAGATAAACCAGAGACATCTGTCAACTTAGAAGAAACACTAGGTAAGTATTTATTTTGTTTATTCACTTTAATTATTCAAAACTATTAGCAATAATATGAACTCTCTGTATACACCATAACATTACCATTAAAGCTGAAGTCGGTATCATCGCAGGGAAAGTTAAATTTTCGACACTACTAACAACCAATCAGCAAACGACCTTGAACGGACCAATCGCATTAAAGAGGTATTTATGATAAACGTATGGAAATGTATCTTTATAGTAAAAAGCAGAAAACGGTTACAGGGGGTATCTTTCCCTAACATATGCGAGAACTATCTCCCAGTTAAGCATCGGACTGTCAATAGAAAAGTTACACCACATTCTGTACATATATTCATCTAAATGACTATGAGATCCTTTTGAGATCCATTTATAGCCCTTATACTATTTTACAACCTGCCCCAAAATCCTTCAATAGAATTTGTATGTGTCCTGGTAACGGGATCGACAAAATCACTTGAATGGTTGACTGTATGATGAATATATCCCAGAGATTACAGGGAATTGTAAGCGTTCCATTCGTCCATGTGTATTATTGATCCCCGTTTTACAAGTTTGGTAATAATAGGTATTAATGGAGTTGCCTTTCTATCTCCTATTCTTTCCACGAATTCTTTTCGGAGGGAGGTGTTGTATAAACCTATTACCCAAATATTGTTCGCTCGCTGGCATCCACGGTTGTATTTCTTTTTCACCAACACAGTTTCATCGACGTGCACAACAATGTCTTCTCCACCCAACAAAGATGCATCCACTCCCTGTGACTTATGATCTTCAATGAAATTGTTTTGTATTTCTTTATTACTCCTTTGTCTCACACCTCTGCTCACTATCTCTATTATGCTTTTCTTGTACTTTCTTCTCTTGCTTCGCGTGCTACACGAAATGTGGCGACTTGAACTTCCGCACATTTGTGCAAAGTTTTATGTCGAAAACAGACAGACAGACAACAAAGAATTGATTTTCTCCATTCTCCACGAAGCAATATCTCTGCAATGCTGGTACCATTGAACCGTTGAGACGAGGCTATTCTCCGTCTCAACAGCTGCAGCTCTCACTGGCTGTTTCAAGACCCAGTAGTTGCAGATATACAAAATTTGCGTCAAGGAGAGGTGTGACCTAGCAGAAACGTTCTTACGAAATATTAAAATTGTCAGCTTACGCTCCCTTATGCAAATTCGCTTCAAGCATATTGCACAACGTTGGAAAAATCCATCAGTTGGCCTGCTATAGCTTTTTAAAGTCATGAGACCACCACACGAACAAGTTCGCTCTTCCGGAGCAACCCCGAATCCAGGCAATACTGGAAAACACTCTCCTCGAATTGCAACCTTAACCTTGTTAAGGCACGCATTAGAAATGAATCAAGCGCTAAACAACATTGAACTAACGTTCGTGAATCTCATTGGATAATTCGACGTCGTTCGTTGATTGGTAGTTAGTGGTGCTTAAAGTTTAGCTTGGCCGCATCGCACTAGATTTGATAGCTACCTTCTATGTACTCTAAGGTGCACGTTTTTTGATACACGAGTTTCACATTTTTGTGAAGATTTAGTGCACTGCAGCCGCCAGCCTCTTGTATGGCTGTGAAACATAACTATTGAAAGTGGAAGGTATGAAAAGACTAACCGTCTTTGATCATAGGTAGTCTGCATTCTATCTCGTGTGTTGATTGCTATAATATGTTGATATGGTAATGTTATGGTTAGGCGGGGAATGTTAGGTAAGGAGGTTGGGGGTGGGCGGGTAAATATATTAATGAGGTTGTGAAGTGACATTGGTTGAGATGACTGGGACGTGTGGCACATTCCTAACCATTGTCTATCTTGTAAGGGGCAATGTTATCTTATGTAGGCTAGAAAATATATGTATGATGAGAGCTGTCTGCAAGCCAAAATTGTAGACAACAATTTACGTCAATGTTTACGTCTTGAATTGGGGTCATGAGAAAAAACGATAACAAAGGATAACCTTGAGGAACTCACCAACCAATCACAGCAGACTTAACGTGTGCAAATACGATTCGCAGATATATGGCCTGAATTTCTAAAAAACGGCTACAAAGAGATGACAGAATAACCTTTAGCAAGAAAACAATCAATCAGAAGAGGTTGCTTCTTCACATTGTGTCACCTTGAAGTAATAGAGAAGATTCATAGTTCCGGTGGATAATTTGGATTTGATTGTGTTCCCTGAGCTGGGTGATGTAGTTGAAGTTTTCAAGGTCCTGCTAGAGAACGTCCTCAACGGGAGTTTAATAATGAAGGCGCTGTCTAACAGGACGACGAAAGCTTCACTGCCAAAGTTCCTTGTCTGTTTTTTTCGTTTTCGGTAGACCTTTTAATCCTTATAATATCAAACGAACTAATCTGTTGATGAAAGCCTGCTTTGTGACTTCTTAGAAATACTTCTGCCGTCGTGTTTGATGCATCAAGTCTCTAAGATATATGTGGAAGCATTGACTGGTTGGCTTGACATCATCAACGTTGACAATTCCAATGTCGTTCCTTTCTTGTGTTAATATTGTTGTCGATATCTCCCTTGTACACACTGATTTCACAGAGTACTAAACACCTGTCTTGCTATTTAAAGATTATGAAAAAAAATGCTGGTTTAGTTGTATTCTAGTCTGTCTGTCTGTCTGCTTTTGACATAGAACTTTGTACCGATGTGCGCGGCAGTTCAGGTCACCACACTCCTTCCTTGTAGCACACAAAGCAAGAGAAGAAAGTACAAGAAGAGCATGATAGAGACAGTAAACAGAGGTGTGAGACAAAGAAATAGAAGTAACGAAGAAAAATGTAATTTCATTGGATATCATAGGTCACAAGAAGTGGGTCCTGACGTTAAATGCTCCTATATGAAGTTGGCGACATGGCTTTAAAAGGCTATATGGGATGTTTCTATGGCTCTCACCGTTGTTTGTGGTCACAGAGTGAAGTGAGGATGCCTCACTAGCCTGAAGAGTACTTCTTACTGTAGTAGGGGAATAAGATGATGAAGGTGGCGTGGGTAGAGGAGAATGGTGCTCAGAAAGGCTTCGTGTGCTTTTGGAAGTGTGTGGGCGGTTGTTACCTCCCGGCTGACCACACCGTGGAAGTTGGTTGATTCTTCGAGTACCTAGAACAGAAAGAGTGTTGCATGACCGCAGAGCCCAGGGGACAACTGCTTGAGGCCGCCGGTCACACACGGCCTGTATGAACTGGTTTCTGGGATTGGTTCCGTATTAGTAAACTTACCGCCGGTTACGGACCACCGTAGGTGGGGTAAGTCGGGATGTACAATTTTTGGGGTCGACCTTTTCTAAACCCCTCTCTCCGGAGTGGAGAGACACCATAGCTGGCTGGTATGCTGGTCATCTGAGGGAAACACCTCACTGCTGTTAAACTCCTGTTCCCCAGCAGTACGACTTCGCCCTCAGACCCCCAGCATAGTGTAAGAAAGATTATTGCACAATTCCGGTAACTGCTTTTAGTTTAATCGATATCCTAACAACCTTCCTGGTATGGTAGGACCTGCGGGAACATTGGTTCCAGGCAGTGCAGCTTGTTGGGTCATCGCCTTGTGCAAGCCCGGCGACAACCACGTCAAGGTAGCAGTTATCGGTCGGGTGTATGCTAGTAATTTAACTGATTCATTATTATTATTCTCCTCATTTATTGCTTTCTTATAGGTGAACATATAGATGATTCAGAAATGTATGATTCATTCCAACAGAAAGGGGATGGCAAACCATCAAGTATCAATGATGTTTCAATGAATTCAGACGATAAACATACTGATGACAACAGCAACAACAACAACAACAATAACAGCGATATTGTTGGCAAGAGTAATAATAAAAGTGCTAGTGTTGAAAGTGATAATCTAATCGATCCCGGGAGGGATTTAATCAAAGCAGCTAATATACTGAATACTATTAAGACAACTAATCCTATTCTACAAGGTCTGACAGATTATCTAGTTGATGAAGGCAGCGCTGAAGAGGAGCTTTTACTTTTGGGTAATTTTATTCTGTTTTTTGTTTGTTTTAATTGTTGGATTAGAGTTATAAATACTACTTTTTTTTTGCTAATAATATCGAAAGATGTAAGTTTATTCACTCAAACGTGCCAGTGTGTTTGTGTCATACAGGTAGACATGATAAATGTATGTAGGGGCTAGTATGCCAACACTGTCTTCCTCAATCTACTCATTAAGTTACCTAGAACCAATTTTTTATCTAAGAGCTTCACTCACTGTTTGAGAGCTGGACACACTACTTAGTTGATCAGGTTGAAGTGGGTGGATCAAAATTGAAGAACCCCCATGGGCCTGCCCAGTGAACGCAATGGTTGTAAATTTGAGTGCTTAAGCCGTCGAAGGTTACATTTCCATTTGTTGCAAGGGAAAAGAAAGGGCAACCAGAAGGGGGATGGTGTAATCGAAGGTCTTTGGGGAAGGAAAGATAGAACAAATAGAACATATTGCGTTTGGCAGCAAACCAAATCATGAAAATGTTTACTCCACTAGGGTCGTTTCACCCACAGTTTCTAAACACAGATTTTCGAAGTCATGTGGACACCAGCTAGACAACTTTCTTGTATGATACAAGAATATAGTCAATAGCTTTATAAAATGGTTGTATGTCTTTATCGGACGGACAACTCACCAATTTCATCCATCCTACCCACATATAGACAATGGGTAGGCACATATAAATCAATGTCTCAGCCAGCTCCAAGTATGTTGGTTGATACCTTCTTCGGCCTCAATCTTAACTAGGACTGAAGTGCAGCCAGTCTCATATGTCTGACGCTTTAGGCGTGCTGACTTGAGTGAATATTCTATCACAGTCGAGTTTATCAAATGGAGTTACCAAGCTAGGAGACTCGCCATTGCAGTGCGATCGGCAGGCTGGCAGAACACAGCCTAATGCCTGATTACCGTCTTCAGTACATGATTAGATATCCTTGTCTTCATTTGGCTTTCAACTATTTTATATCATTCAGTAGTATGTATAGCATTACAGATTGGTTACTCTATATAGTTATGGTCTTTAAGTGTACGGGTATGATTTTCAAACTTAGTACCTACAATTATGATGACCTATTTTCCTTAATTTAATATATGTATTGTTCCCTACAGTGTATTTTCGCGCACATAACTACTCAGTATTATATTTGTCAAATTATCATCACTCTTGACTTGGAGCTAATCGACTATAGTATATTTAAAACCTATGCCTTTAATGAATTCCGATGGCATCATTGGAAGACAGATTTTATCTAAAAAACATGATGTATTTGCTCCAATAAGAACAATAAAAATGACGAAAATAATGTAGAATTCAAAGCTTCTGTAGTAGTACTGCCGTATAAAGAAGGAAAGTGAGAGGCCTTATGTAGGATTCCCAATCTAGCTGGAATTAGGATGGCATTTAAACCAAACAACCAACCAACTCTCTCAGAGATAAACTTTGTCGGCTTAAGAACCTGCCCGATATATCCAATTAAGACAAATAATATAATTTACCAAATACCATGTAATAACTGTCAGTGAGGTCAATTCAATTACATAAGTAAGTCAATCTAGTAGATCGGGGTCAACTAGATTATTGGAACATACAAATTTAGCTAGACGTGGAGTGACGATTGACCCTGGTAAGTTGAATGACCTAGAAATAAAGCTCAGCCATTGCATTGCACTGGATTCACTTACATGTGATCACAAAATAGGGTGTTTGGGACAGAGTGAGAGTATTAAAAAGTAATATAGTTAGGTGGAGAGAGATAGAGAGAGGTAAATCACTGAAGCTTTGTGTATACGTTCAACAGCGTACACCTGCAATCGGAATGAAGCGACGCCTATACCGGATATATTGAAAGTGGTAGGAAACAATAAAGGGAAGTTGGAGAGAAAATAAATATAAGACGAACTGTGAAATCTGGTGACCAAAATTGATATGCTGCTATTATGGGTTGTAATAATTTATGCTCGAAACCTTATCCGCCATCCATTTGTTAATACAACATCATCACTCACTGTGTGATATTTTTAAAGTAAACTAATCTAACATGGAGGGAAAAATAAAAGGCCAATTAAAATAAACAAAATGATTAGAGATTTAAGAATAAGAAGGATAATCCTAAGTAGCCTTTCCTAACTCAAGCATTGAGCACTTACGTTTACGAATATCCATCGCCTCAGTACTGCTGACGGCTTCCATAAATAATCTTGAAAACTTTTGATATCAGTTGTGTGTGATTTATGTCAATTAAGTGTTTTTCAAAAGCTTAAGGTCCCGAGTTCGATCCCTGGTTGGGTCGTTACGTGTGTATTATTGAAGCATTTCAAATGAGGGCCGAAACATATGTCCACTACTCCTTGGTTTTCAGTGGCTCTCTAACTCATATTAATACGTGATGAAATTTGTATAAATACAAGAAAGCGTAGATGCTCTCGTCTTAGAACAGGAGACGCTGAATCGGAAGTTTACTTTCAAGAATAAACATTTCATTCAAATTACTTGAGAATTTGTTTATTTACTTATTGTTTTCTCTCCTCTCTCTCTCTTGTGTATTTTTCCCTCAATAATCAGGAGGTATGGAGTCGATTTCATTCCAACCATCTACCCTGCCTCAACTTGGTCTACAGTCAAGCTTACAATTACAAAAATTTGAGATTTCTTCAAAATTTTATGAATCAGATGATAGTGAACTGTTAGTAGCATTGGATAGATTAATTTTATACCTAAGAATAGTACATTCAGTTGATTTCTATGCACCAGCTATCTACATTAATGAAGATTTAATGCCGCATCCGTGTCATCTAATGCATATACGACCTAGTCTAAACGAAATAACACAGTCTTTAACACAATTGAATAATTTAGAGAATACAAGTGATATCGAATCAATTGGTCAGGTGAGAGATTTTTTTCACTTTTTGTAAATTGTGTGTTTTTTAGAGGGACTGTTTTAGAGGGGTGTGTGTCACTGAGTGGTTTCAACGGTGGAATGTTGTCGTCGACCGCGCAGGAGTTCGGCTGTTCTTTGGTTCCTCGACCGCGATACTCCTAAACCCACCCTGTTTATATTAAGTACCTTAAGGGGGGATTGGATGCGAGGATAGCAACCCACACCGTATAAAAAACGACACCCCTACACTGGAACTTTAAAACTTGATATCATCAGTGTTTCACTCGGAAAACTAGGAGTGAAAAAAGTGTCTACTTTAAACGCTTATCAGTAGCTAAGTAAAGTATAACTTAAAATTGCCTCTCATTTAGAAATTGTCAGTCTCTTCACTAGAAAGCAGGCTAGCTAACGAACAGTAGAATAATGTTCACTTAAGAAATGAATTGGAAATCGACAAGCGTCTTATTGTAAGATGCAAGTGTCAGGTCCTTCCCTATCTGGTATGTACGTCCTCATTGATGAAGAGTCATGAACTAGTTAAAAATGTATTCTCAATTCTTTTTGGTTTTTTATGACTTTCAAATCATGTCTATTTCTGTTGTAAACCGAATTGAGATTGAATTCAATTCGTGATTCACAGTCTACACAATTTGAGCTGGGATTTCACAGTCACCCATGGAAACCTCAGTTATTCAGACGGTTTGATTTTAAACCGAGTACCATTGTCACTGAAAAAGTGAAACTCCCGTCAGGTGTTTAGATCATTCCAATCTAGGCTAGCAAGCACTGCTGGTTAGTGTAAATTACTTATGTGAATCAATCAGTAGTATGTAACATCAAATTGAGATCAATCAACTCAGGACAGACTAGTCGAATCGCCATTTTACTTCAAGAGTGGTATATAACGATGCTTTTAGTATATAGTATTTGGGTCATATTTGTCACTAAAGTTATAATGCGCACTCTGTGCTGCGTAATAAATAGTGGGCAGCTACGGGAATTCCCTTCCATACGCTTTTGTCATGAAGATCTGTACTTCGCATTCATAGTCGCGAAATTTGAAGTGATGCCTGTTATGTAGTTGTACATTGTCGATTATCTTTAGCGTGTGACATGTGCCCCCGAAGCTTACTGCTTATCACGCACAAATGTTAGATGGCCTTTACATATGTTGACTTCTGATATTATACAGTGGACAAGGTTTATACAATGAGTTTAAACGATGTGTTCGACCACATAACTCTCTAGCGTTCCAGTTGTACTGTGTTCTATAACTGCAGCTCTGAAGATCCGGGTTCTAATCTCAAGTAGAGCATCAGTTCCTTCGGGGTTTCGGGGATGGATTTGATGGAGACGTAGTTTATTGGTTTAGGCAGTTGACTTCTGGCTGTCAGCTTCCAGGGTCTAATCCTACTCCTCCTACTTATTAGCTCTCACACACAAGTATGAACCTGAAATGAGGTGTCCATTCTAAGTAACAGAGTCCTTACTGTCAACTTGAACACTCTATTTAACGAAAACACTCACTCACTGTATAGTACTTGTCATTTATCTGAACTACACATTTTATAATCGTTGAGTCTCATCAAAATGCACAATAAGTGGATGGTTGATAGAGGTTTTCGGTGAATTGGCGAAGTTATGAATCATGGATCTTTGGATTCCTGATATATATTTGTTGGCTGTATACTAAGATTCTTGCCAATTGACGCCACATACCAACATGCCATCGAGTTAAACCTAAATGAAAAGTAATGGGTCGTGCATGAATTCCGACAGTGATATGAAAGGCATCATGTACAGTGAAAACGAAAGCCTTTTGACTGCTTTGGAGCCAATTGAAAATGATAAGAGAGAATCGAGTGGGATAGAAATGTTCCGCTGAAACCACCTTATATATCACTAGGAACTGAAGGAACAAATAGTGATAAATATTTGTCCTTAAATCGACAGTCTTGGAATCGATTCCTCATGTGATTGTAAGTAGATGCAGCTAGAGATCCCCAAACTAGGACAAAACACTGGCCAGATACTCCTTAGCCTTCGATGGTCCTACTCCGTTTTACACGAGCCTTGAAAATTATACCATACGGGATATTCGATTATACTGTTACTAATATATATATTTCAATAAATGGGTTTATTTTGTTATTGAAGTTAGTTGTTCTTCTCATTTTCTTGAACTTATTCTAACTCTTTTATTCCTGTTCTTATCTGCATATGTACAACATTCAGCTATTTACCAATCAATTGAAACGCTTAATACGACTTATTACACCACTCAAAGAAATTGATTGTAAAAATTTAGGTTTTCGAAATGCAGAAGAAGTTGCTGAAGAATTTATCAAGCTGAATACACGTCGAAAGAAACGAAAAACGTATGTGTTATTTTTGTTGGTAAAAAAAGAGTATACTACTCTAGTTTTTATCATTTTGTTTGTTTTAAAATTTTACCTTTTGCCTGTTACCGCACCTTAAAGTATAGATATAATATTGTAACTGCAGAAGCTCAGAGAACTGGGAATGGACTATATTCGTTAGGGCTCACGTCATTATTGGAAGAGGTTTGGAAGGAAGGAAACGTGCATACTGGTTGGAAGAAAGGCCACTTTTCCAAGCTGCCGAAGCAGGGAGATTTAAGCCTCTGCAAGAAGTGGCGTGGAATAATGCTCTTGTTTGCACCAAGTAAGATACTATGCCGCGTCTTCCTAGAGAGAATAAAAGGTGCACTGGATACAGAACTCCACCAGTCTGGAACAAACTGGGTTCAGGAAAGGCTAATCATGTGTGTGCTGAACAAATTGCAACTCTACACATCGTCATCGAACGAAGCATAGAATACAGTCAAACCTCTATCTCAACTTCGTTGACTTCGAAAAAAGCCTTCAGCAGACATTATTGACTGAGAAGTAATTTGAAGACAACTGCAACACTATAGCGTGCCGTAGGTCTTTATCAATCTCATGCAACAGCTATATGACAGTAGCACGTGTCATATGGTCCATAACAGAAAACTCGGTCAGGCGTTCGAAGTGCATACAGTAGTAGGACAGGGCTGCCTGTTATCACCGATTATATTCCTAATTGCAGTGAACTGGATTTTGCGTCAGACTATTGGGGCGAGGAGTCAGGAATGTGCTGTACCACCGATAAGAAGGTACTAAAAGATCTGGATTTTGCAGATGACATGCATCTAATATCACACAAACTCGATGACTTGCAAGCTGAAAACCAGCAAACTGCCTGGAGATGCAGTGTAGCGAAGACAGGACTCCAGTTGAACATAGAGAAGACGGAGGTGGTGAAGATAACCAACGAACCGTAATAATAACAACCACAATAATAAGCAGCACCACTGACCATCAACCGGAGAGATTTAACAGAGTTTATCTCCTTCACTTGTCTAGGAAGCGTTGTTTCAGCTACAGGCAGAACAGATGAAGATGTCAAAACCAGCCAACCAGAATCAGAAAAGCAAAATGCGTCTTCATCAACCTGAAATTAATTTCAAAATCTTTTGCACTGACTCAGCATGAAGAACAAGATTCGGATTTTCAACACCAGTGTGAAGAGTTGGTCCTTCTAAATTGGGTCAGAAAATTGCTCCAAGTGTCAAGAAAAGGATTTCCAACTGGTTGCAGACTTCCATCAACAGCTGTCCTATTCGAATAGCCAGGAAGACTTAGTAACAAGAAACTGTGGGGACCAACCAACAGGTGAGAGCCGATTGCTCAAGAATTATATGCAGAAGAAAATGGAGATGGATCGGGTGGGTATACATTGAGGAAACCGTAGAATGACATCGCACGCAATGCAGGACTTGGCACGAGTGGAATCCCAGTGGGAAGCGATGAATGGATTGTCATAGGGTGATATGGAGGAGACCTTGCGAGGAAGAGATAAGACACTATGTACGAACAATCGTGGATCCAGCAGAAAAGGACAGCAGACAATAGAAGAAAGTGGAGATGTGTTGTTGAAGCTATATTCGCCACTAAAAACCCAAGGGTATGATAGTAATATAATATTCATTAGGAAAAAAGCATCATATTTATACATTTGTAATCACATTAAAATTCGGCTAGGTCAGTAGGCGATAAACCGTTCTGACTAGCTGGTGATTGGTCCAGAGGTAAACAATGGGACGAAAGTCCGTCCAATGAGGTTATTTACTGACCACAACACCAACTTAAATCCATATCTGAGGAATGCACACTTCTATCTCTATGCATCCATTGACGTGAAATGTTGATTTCAATTTTTTGACGCTTCCTATCAATCTTCAATCTATACAGCACACACTACATTATTAATTCGGGTAGTTTCTCATTAAAAAGTTCTATGGTTTGTTTACAGGTCAAAAATCAATACTAGTATATTGATCAACACTATGCGCCTGTTTTGAATAAGGAGATATTTTTCCATAATGGCATGCATTCTGACTTACTGGCTGTGTTGTCAACTTAGATCTATGGACAGAAGTGTGCAGCTTTTGAAGTTACCATAATCCATGTATCACACATAGATATATAGAGGAAAGAAATTTAGAGGAACTATATTGACTGGATATGTATGGGACAAAGAATGATTAGACGGAATACAATGGAAGTTTGATTGATGTGGGGGTTCATAAACTGTGAATTCATCTGCTTCACTGGAGACAATTTTGAACCATGTCACTAAGATTTAGCTGTCATTGACTCTTGTCATTTTGACGACCTCCAAACAGTCTAAAGACTTCTACATGGCTCCAACTGTCACTGACAGACTTCATGGACTTCATTTAACCCAACCTGAGCATATGTTAACGAACATCGCTCGCCTACGGGGGTGGTGGGCTAGGCATGCATAACACGTTTCGACACCATCTTTGTCGTCATGGCCTCTTTAAGATGATCGATTGACTTACACCCTAACACTCTAAGCCTAACCTAAATATTACTCATCATACTATAGCACTTAACACAGGAGATAAGATCCAGATATCTGTGACCAAAGACAACTAGCCTTCTTATAGCTTCCATTTTCAACGACCATGTCTCCCAGTTTATTACCGTCTTTATCTAGAAGAATCATATCATCTGCACACTCTAAATCGATATGACTGTTCCTAGCATATATGTTTCCATCGGCCTCAGGGAATCGATTGTCTGATAAGGTTATTTGTGTCATTGTTAATGTCTTGACAATATATATATATATATATATATATATATATATATATATATATAGTTAAGAGTTCAAACACACTGTAGCACTCCAGTCCTGAAGAGAATAGAGGAGAAATATCTACTAGCTGTCTTCAATAAGAATGAATACCCATACAATCTTATCACATAAATGTCTAATTTCAAATCCAAATACCTGGAAGAAACCATATTCTAAGACCACAAAGAAAATTCACTCTATCATACATAAAGAATATCTCCGAAATAACTGCTGCTAGAATACTAAGACCATTTGAAATAGATATATCACACAAGCCAACACCTTCACTTCAGTCAGTATTGTGCACACCAAAGAATCCGATAACAGTAGAAAATAAGATCAACACACCATCTAAAAAATAAACTGCGATAAGCACTACAATGGTCGAAGTGAACGCCTCCACCCCCACTCAAATTAGAATCCAAGAAGTTAAATTAGCTATGAAAAAGGCATGATGCGTATTGTTTCACACCAATGCATGTAGACAGTCACGGAGGGAGTGTAAAAATCTTAAACAGAGGAAACGCTAAAAATTATCAGGAAATTTCTGGAAACCTAGCGATTAACAAATGTATTACTATAGATTAAATTTCGCAACTAATAAAAAATAAATCACATGACAAGAATGTTCAAATTACAAGCCGGTAAATATTACCTGAGTAAATTGACAACAATGATTGTCAGCGGATACAATTAATTATGTCATCATTCGCTTGGAGAATTCAAACAAGTTTACTTTAAATTAAAGCCTGCACTGACTATGTTGTCTAGGAAGACGACGAAAGTTTCGCTTTTTAAATCAACCAGGTCAGGGAGCACTACCAAACCGAACCTTCGGTTTCGTATCACTAATTTTGTTGCTAATATGATTACAACAGACAAAATTTTAGATGGTTTGAGGCAATCAGTAGGCAGTCTCTGACATAGGTTTTGGACTTGTTGGCACTCACCAGTCAGCAAAGTGTATCACATCCCTTTTAAGACTCGAACCCGTGTCGCAGTCATAGCCGTTACCACTGAGCTATTCAGACTCATGATTCACCTCCTGTAGGACTGTATGAGATACTTCTGATTGGACATTGACAAAGCACTAGGCACATGACATTAGTCAGTGTCCAATCAAAACATAGAGGTATGTCTCATCGCTGTTGTGAGTTCTGCCTAGTAGAGTGACTCAATTTCAATGTTCTTTCCTCAGTTTTAATTGAGCAAATCCAGTAGTAAAATCTGAAGCTTTATACACTCACTTTATTTCTTCTTGGTTTGTTTTGTTTTCTTAAGAGATGTGATATGGGTCTGCCCTTTATCGAATAAAAAGTTTCGTGATCCAATTTACGTCAAAAAGCATATTCTCAATAAACATATGGACAAAGTTGAAGCAGCTAAAAATGATAATGTGAGTTAGTTATATTCTGTTTGGCAACGGTTTTATGGTTTTTAATTTGTCGTCATCATAATATAATGTCATTTTGTACTCTTAAGCGACTCGAATGCAATCTTTATCAGGACAAACCCATTATAGGTACATAAATTTCTGGTATACCTTATCTGTATGTTTTTATTTGCACATCATTTGCAAATTGGTCAAATATCACCACATATGACAGCTTGTTAGATTCTGTACAGTGTTGTAACGTTCTTCTCATACTTCTCTTCTTCGATTGCTTTTTCTAGAGCCCCGAAACATATTGTTACTCTTTTCTGAATTCGTTTACTGATATACTACTTATATCTGATTATAAGTAGCACTCACTACAGTGATTGTATGGCAGTCAGGATTATGTTATTAGAAGTTGGTAATCAAATGCATAGAGAACACTTCCTGTATCTATGCCAACTTCTCTGTTTCTCTCTCCCCCTCGAATATATTAGGAACGCAATGTACTCTAAGGCCATGTCAGTCGTTTTCACAATGTATATTTCCGAACAACAATTGATACATAGTCCGTATTTTCTTGTAAAAGTTTACCTTCGATTGGTTCTAAAAGGGGTTTCTTTTAGTTTTGGAAGCTGTGAACAGCCAGATATAATTTGGCCTAAATTTTGAAAAGTGTTAAGCGTGAAGGCAAAGGGGAAATATGTGTTCACTGTGCGTCGGTGGCACAGTGATTAGGACTCTCGCCGACGATGCACATGGTCCGGGGTTCGAGCCCACGCCGACGCACACTTGATATCTATGGTCGGCCTGCGAAATTTGGGCTACCGATATCCACGCTGAAAATTCCACACTTGTACCAAAAATACGGTGTGAAATCAAGCTGTAATCAAAAATAAAAAATAAAATAAATAAGTAGATATATTCAAGTATTGGTTTATACGGATCTGATTGGTTTGGGGACTTCATCATGAGATGACATTGGCCAGAGAACCATTGGAAAACCTGGGATAACTGGACAGCTGTTTCGACAGCCGAGTCTGGGACTCTTCGGCAGTACGCACCCGTCACCAGTGTTTGAACCCAGAGCCTTCCGGTTACAAGGCGAACTTGTAGTTCATTCAGCTGCCGTGGGACCCATTCAAATGGTCGAAAATTTTTTAACTTCTGCCAATTCACTAAATAGCGCGACCACCAGCCGATGTCATCTCTAACGAATATTTTTCCTCAAACCCGACTTGATGTAGTCCACTAGTCCCAGTGGCTTAATGGTCTACAAGGTCGTCTTGTAACCGGAAGGTCCTGGGTTAGAATCCCGGTGATTTATTACTGATGAAGAGTTCAAAACCGGGACGAAACAGCTGTCCAGTATTCCCAGGTTTCCTAGTGGTTCTTTAGCCGATGTCCCCTCATGATGAGCTCCTGTAAGCAAAGCAGATATATCGCATTCACATTCTGTTTAAATAATTAAAGTAAGCAGATGTTTTTAACCTAATTTCGGTATTTCTCATAAACTGTAAGAAAATGTTTGACTGACAAAACTTGTCGGTGAAATATTTAACTCAGAGTCGGAGCAGTGTCAGAAAACTTAAGCTGGTAAGTATGGTCTGCGATACATTGTTTGCTGAAGACTTAAATAAACACAACTAATAACTGAGGATAGTGCGTTGGTGGTTCAGGATTAGGAATATTTGCCAACCACACCTCACGTGGTCTGGAGTTTCATCCCTAGCTGATGGAAAGTCCCGTAAAGGGAAGGCTGCACATGAGGTTAACTACCTCAATCCGTGAAATTTTAGACACTACAGTTACTAAAACTTGAAAGCTCAAGTCTGAAGCACTGTGTTCCACTGAAAACTCAAATGAGTAAACTTTTAAGAAGTAATTCACAATGATGAGGGTGTGGATACATTTTTATCCTTTTTCGCTTACTCGCTTTTTATGACTGTTCATACGTATAAGTATTTCAACCTTCATCACTCTAAGATCAGTTTGGAAATCTTCTGCACTCAACATCGAGAACAAAATTCAGATTTTCAACACCAGTGCTGAATCAGTCAGTTCTTCTATATGAGCCAGAAACTTGGCGTGTCACTGAAAGTATGTCGAACAGGCGCACACCTGATATCTATGTTCGGCCTGTGAAATTTGGGCTACCGATATCCGTGCTGAAAATTCCATACTTGTAGCAAAAATACAGTGTGGAATCAAGCTTTAGTCAATAAAAACCTCTATTGACAGCTGTCTTCTCTGGCTGCATATTGAAGATCAAATGGTCAGAAAGAATCCGTGACAAGAAACTTTGAGAACCAACTAAGGGAGAACCTATCATTCAACAAATATTGTGAAGAGATTGGATATAGATTAGATACACACTTAGGAGACTGTTTGGTGAAATCGCACACCAGGCATATCCTAGAGTGGAACCCGAATGGGAAACGACAAGTTAGGCCTCCGCAGGTGACATAGAGGATATCGCGTGAGGAGGAGGTAAAAGCAATTACGGGCAGTCGTGGGGTCAGTTGAAGGGGGGGGGGACTGCAGAGAACCGGAATAATTAGAGATATGCTTCTAAAGCTTTACGTTCCACTCAGGACCCTAGGGAAAATAATAATAATAATACGCAATTAATCAAATATTCTTAGGCTTTACATTCACTCATTTACTCTGGTGTATAGTGAAATAAAATAACTTCTTTATTTTTCTTTCAGGCTCATTTCTTCAATAATTATCTTATGGATCCAGCTCGTCCTCAGTTGCCTTCTGAGCCTAGATCGCCTAGGAAGTCATATCGATCACCTTCACCATCTCGTGAAACGGCTAGAGAATCAAGTCGACATGACACTAAAACTAGTGATCGTGAACGTTCTGATTCTTGGAATCAAGGTTCACAAAAATGGCAACAATATGGACGTATTCGTAATGATAGGGGTGGTGGTGGACGTGATAATCTGTACAATAATTCATCCTATTCTCGACCGTATGGTGGTCAACAATATTCTAATTTCCGAATACCATACGGTGGCAATCAACGCAGTTATTATAATGGACCACGAGCTGGCGGTGGATATGGCAACTTTAACAGGTTTGTAAAATTGTTTCTATTGTACATATCATTCGTATTATTGGATAATTTATTTTTATTGCGTTTTATGGTATGGTGTATAAGTGTGCGCTTAAAGTTCGCTAGCTCAATTGTTGCGTATTTCCATTGGATTAGGGGGATTTTAATTGCGTTTCTGTAGCACTGCCGTATAAAGAAGGAACGTCAGAGGCCTTACATAGAATTCTTAATGAGGTTGGCATTAGGGTGCCATTTAAACCGACCAAACAGACCAACTCTCTCAGAATTAAACTTTACCGGCTTAAGAACCTGCCCGATATATCCAATTAAGAAAATGTATAATATAATTTACCAAATACCATGTAATGACTGTCAGTGAGGTCAATTCCATTACATAGGTAAGTCAAATTAGTAGATCGGGGTCAACTAGATTATTGGAACATACAAATTTAGCTAGACGTAGAATAATGATTGACCCTGGTAAAGTTGAATGACCTAGAAATAAAGCTCAGTCATTGCATTACACTGGATTCACTTACATGTAATCACAAAGTAGGGTGTTTGGAACATAGTGAGAGTATTGAAAAGTAATGTAGTTAGGTGGAGAGAGATAGAGAGAGGTAAATCACTGAAGCTTTGTGTATCCATTCAACACCGCACATCTACAATCGGAATGAAGCGACGCCTATACCGGATATATTGAAAGTGGTAGGAAACAATAAAGGGAAGTTGGAGAGAAAATATATATAAGACGAACTGTGAAATCTGGTGACCAAAATTGATATGCTGCTATTATGAGTTGTAATAATTTATGCTCGAAACCTTATCTGTCATCCATTTGTTAATATTGCATCATCACTCACTGTGTGGCATTTTTAAAATAAACGTATCTAATATGGAATTGCATTCTACAGCAGTGCCCAAGTTCTACGCTTTCTTTAAATTCAGTTACTTAACATCGCATTTTAGGGTGCATGCGGAAAATTTTTACAGAGTGAAAGTAAGAACTGTCAGAATTCTGTCTCAGTGTTAACACTTCACATTTGATGGCCTGCATGGTTATTATTGTATAACTGTAAAATAAATAATAACCTTCATTTTATAAATATGGGACTGATAGGGAAGGCCTTAAAATGAAGTAGTCTTGGTCCCTGAAATTAAGGAAAAGTTGAATCATGATTTTTCTCTCCCACTACTGGGGGCAGAGGAACATAGGGCTTCAGCCGCAAGTCTCTATGGCGTTCGCTTCTCCGTGAACGTTTTCATCTGGCTCCACATCTCTACCCCCATGCCTTCATCTCCTCTTCGCATGACTTCCTCCAATGTCATCTTCACACTGACGAACAACTCATTGCTTCGCATTCGAGTTCCACTCGAGCGATAGATAGCCTGGCATGTGATGTCTTTTGATAGTTTATTATCTCAGAGTATGTGCGATTGACTTCCATTTCCTCCTGCATATTTGTTGCACAGTTGGTTCCTGGTTGGTTGGTTCGTTTCTGAAGATCGCCGTTGCTGATCTTTTCAGCACAGTAAATATGCAGAAAGAAATTGATATAAATTAAACCCATGCTGACGGGGACCTTCTAGTGATACCACGTGTTAAGCCATTGATTGGAACCTGAATATAAATTGGGTGGTGATTTGATCGTTTGAGGATGACATGCGAATGATCATATGATCTGGGAATGAAAGCTAGTGGACAGTCGTGGAACAAGTGCAATTGAGGCGTGTTCCGCTTGGAACTCAAGGAGTGAATAATAATGCACAAATGGAACAGCATCAAAATGAAGAGGAAAGCAAATGTGAAGAAGCATCGAAATAGAGCGTGATATTCATTGTATGTTTAACGAAGGTATTGATTAGTTATTCTTTTCTACCCAGTGTATCCTAATCACCAGGAAGGTTGTATCTAAAAAGATACAGTCTATGCCTAAAGCGTACTCGTCATCCTCAAATGTTGTTGTTTCACAGGGATCTGATTAATATCCAAAATCAGTTAATAAAAAAGTCACTGAGAACCAGAGTATTGGACCTCTGTTTTGTCCTAGTTCGGGACTCCTCAGTTCAAGTCATGGAGTCCACTAAGTTGAGTGTGAGAATAGGTACTTATTGATGACCTTAGCTGGCGGCTGGCTGTTACAGTATGTATCGCGAATCGGCCATCAGATTCCATTGCATTAGCTGAATGAATGGTTAACAGCCTCGCGTCTTAACATTGAGGGGCATACTACTAAAGAATTTCAAAACTAGTTATGAAACAACTATCCAGTACTCCCTGGTTTTCAATATTGCTCTAACTGATGTCAATTCCTGATGTAACATACGTCATTAAGTTTAGCTTCAGAAATTTTTAAGTTTTTAATACCCATCAAATTGCACATGTATATATATATATATATATATATATATATATATATATATATATATGTCTTTTTAAAGATTATACTATTCATAATTGATTTTTCTTTGAAAAATTTTATAGACGCCCTTATCCAAGACGTTCATATGTCGATTTGGATGCACCATAATTGAAGACGTTAATGCAATCTGCAACAACTGATTTGTATATATAAATATGTATTTATGCTTAACTGAAAATAATAAAGCAGTACCTGTTTTTCTTTTTTCTCCGAAAACATTTAAATTAAATTGAATTTATTTGTGTTGTTATACGCATTTTTACTGGATAAATAAATAAACACTGTAAGAAGTACTGAAAAATCCTTATTCTATTTATTTTTGATTTATGCGCTGAATAGAATTAAGGATAGATGTAGTATATATAGTACGTTATGAACTATTGACTTAAGCATTAGAAGTAAAGCTGATCCCTCACTGCATGTATACAACCAGGTATTCTCGAACACAGAAGTTCAGCAGTTTAAATGGCCATATTTCATGATTTGACTCCCCTTGAGTCTTTTTCAATCAAATCAATTATGACTCTTCGATGACGGAACACAGTGACTTGGCATGCTATACATATATTTTAGCCATGTCAGTTGATTCAACTTCAGTACTTTATCATCTGGCTGACGACTTTCCCTGCTTGCCTAATATTCTACGCCTAACTGCAATGCTGCTGACCGTAATATATGCCGCCTGAAACTGCGGAAAGATTATCTCACTGTCTAATTGGTTACTCTTATTGATCAATTATTTGTGATGTTCGTCAAATTTCCGTCGGAACTACATTAGATTCAATGACTACACACACTGTTTGCATCCGTCAGTGGATCCGTCAGTGTAAATTGAAGGTAGTACATGTGTGCAGAATTTAAGGAAAATACTACAAATCATCACATTTTTAAAAAATCTTCAATTCAATATTGTTTTTATATATGGATTGGTTAAGTATGAGTTCGCAGTGTAAAACTTTGCACAGAAAAGCAGCAGCCCGAGATAACACAGATTATATGGAACACAAATATGGGTGGGGAAAACAAAGTCAAAGAACTAGGTTGAGTAGAAACGTATGAGAATACAAATAATTGTATGGAGAATATTGATGACTTAGTGAATCTGAGACTTCATAATTAGTGAATGTATCTTCGCCATTAAAACCAATTTTTAGTCATGAAGCCAGTATACCCTAGTTATTGATTCTTAGCGTCTCAGGCATCCTAGCCAGATAGTTTGCACCTCTCTGTGTGTGACTTAATCAGCAGTCATGGCCTTCATCGACTGATGACATGTTCTTAGCTCTTGAAATCACCATAGCATGCTGCACTCTAAGCTAGAATTAGATAACTCCAAACATAATACCGAAGTGCATTATCCTGAAAAAAACTGAAGGAGTATTTGGCCGGAAGAATTCGTCTCATACTTGCTGAATATAGGAAAAACAAGTCGTTTGTTGACCAATTCTTAATACCACACATCATTGTCGAACAAACCCTATAATGTCAGCCAACTCTATACCTTGATGGTGTCTATCTTGAAGGAATCTGACAACGACTTCAACACTACAGATTGTAGCATGGAATCATTTATAAACCTCAGCAGCTATTTGATGATGTTAAATTTTGAGCAAATTACGGCGGGAAACTCACTGAGGTCTTTGAAATGAAGACAGGGTTGGGTCAAGGTCGCCTGCTGTCACCGAAGATTTTCCAAAATGTGATGGACTGAATTATGCTGAAGACCTTTGGGGTTGAGAAGACGGATATACGTCGAACACACGAAATATCGTCAGAAGATATGGATTTCAAAAATGGTCAAACAAACTCAAAGATTTACAAGCGAAAACCAATAAGTTGGAAGAATAGATAGCGGAGACACAACATCAGGTAAACATACAAAATGTAGTTGAGATGGAGATCACGCAGAAGCAGCAATGAAACGAATCTAAAGCCGGTCATCTTTCTCACCTATCTAGACACAGTCGTTTAAACTACAGGCGGAAAAGATTATGACAAAGACGGGGTTGGAAAAGCAAGACTGACGTCGATTTCTTTGAGACCAGCATGAAAATCTGCTGCACTCAATATAAGGAACAAGATCCGGATCTTCAAGACACAATGTTATATCATTTCTTCTATATGATTCACAGGTCTAGCGCACTTCCAATACGCTTCCGACTTTTATTAACAACTTCCTTTGCTCCATACTAAAGATTAGATGTCCGGTTAAAAGGATAAGCCTGTTTTGTCAGAGAACCATCCAATAACCTATTGGTGAGCAGATATGCAGATGGAAACACGGGTGGATTGGAGATACATTTAAAAACCTTCAAATGACATTACACGAAAGGTGTCGAGTGGAAACTGAATGAGAAATGATTGATTGGGCGTCACGGTATGACGTGGAGGAGATCACGTTGAGAGGAAGTGAAAGTTGTGGGCGGTTGGGAAACCAGTTAGTGATATGTATCCACATGATGTGTGTGTTGTTTTTGACTGTCTGTTATATTTTGCTATGTGTACATGGATCGATATTCCATTATAACTGACATTATGCTTTTGTCTGTCCACTAACTAGGTAAACAATGTATGACCTTGTTATCACATGACATTGCAACCAATCATGGTAAGACGTTATCTCATTGGTTCATGTGTATTAGCCATTTTCATATATACTCTTGCTTTATTATTCTTGTTCACTTTCTTGTGTTCCCACGTTTCGTACATCTAAGTACCCTTTCACTCACACTCTTGTGTGACATTTATTTTCCTTGTCTGGAAAATACAAATATCATCGTAAACGTCGTGGTCCTCTGATTTCCCTCTTTCCGCATCAGGACTATTAACTACTCGACGAGTACATAACAGTTAGCTAGTGTTCATCTTCCATTCGTGCAAAGAACTAACACTGAATGAATAATCTACACGCACAGTTTTATCTCGCTAGTACATATTCACTCTTTTCTTTATGAATCATTTATAGTTGAGAGATGTTCAAAATAAGATGTAGTATGAACTGTTGGTCATCAAGAAGAAAAGAATTATTATCAAATATAACAGTTACTACTCATTAGTAATGCATCAACATCATATTATTTCTATGCGTACACATAGTTCAGTTGTTGTTTGTTTGAATAAAGCTTATTGGCAAGGTGTGTAGTTTAGGTGCAATTTCTTTACTGTACATAAGTAAATCTATAAATATAATAGAAATGAGAGCGTCTCCTCCCTCTTGTTTCTGTGATCTAATCTGGAATAAACTGCGGAATTCCAAATGGGGACTAATATACATGATGTGAAACAAAATGAAATGAAAAGTAGATGACAGCCAAAACAAAACAAAAACAAAAAAAATCAAAATGGTGCTATAGACGCTAGACCAGTTGGTCCTTTACCATATTTTGGTGCTATACATTTTGGTTTACCAATAGTATTTTCATTTTTCTCTTTATTTTTATTACCACTATCAGAATCATCGTCATCTCTATTTTGTTGACGATCATAAAGACGAGGATGAGGTTTATGATTTAGTATAGGATCATTTAACTTTTTACCTAATGCTGTTGATGGATTAAATGGTGAAATTAATTGAATATTCACTTTCACTGGTGTTATGCCTAAATTAATTGGTGAATTCATTTCATCGACAAGTTTACTTTGACATGTTGACCATAATTCATTATATGCCTAGAAAAAAAATTAATGAAAAGTTAATATAAAATAAGTGAAAGAAAAACATGTAGTGTTCTGTTTATTATTTTTCAAAAATAACTTGGATCTATATAAACATAGACCTTGACGCGCTTTTCGATTACTACGTTACATTAACGTAGTTATATAAAACTCTTATTTCTGTGGAGTTTCTTGCCAAAAAATTGTAGAACTTATTGTAATTATTCGCCTTTCGAACACTGAATCTGTGGATATAATCTTGTTGACAGACAATACCTATAATTATCTCTTTGTCACTTTGTGCTTGTTTAACACTAACTAATATCTATAATTGTGTATATCGATGGATTTACACGTTCAAGTTGGCTCAAGTCAGTGAGTCTGTGATTTTGGTATCATTTTGGTTAACTGTATCTAACTGTGATATTATTATTGTTGTTGTCGTTTGTTGCCCTTCTTGCTGTGAATTATTTTTCTTTTTACTGGTGTTGTTCTGATTGTTTATTCCTTATTTTCCTCGTTTTGAGGGGAGCAACCCACAAGGTCGCTTCTCTCTAAACTATATTTTAATGTAACAACCCCTTTCTCAGACATGAGACTAGCAACCTCACCCTGTAAACAAAGTTGCTACAGAAATTTCAGCACGGTGAATCTCCTTGCGCCGAAAGAAAAGGTCTGTGCGAGGACACGGAACGTCCATACCATGTACGAGATTGGAAAAGCTGCCCAGATCACAAACGAGATGAGAAGATGCGGAATTCAAGTACTGGGAATATGTGAAAGCAGATGCAACGGGAATGGACTCACCAAATTGTCAACGGGAGAGTCAGTGATCTTCTCTGGTCACCCAGAAGATAACCACACGCACACCGAGGGCGTGGCTATCATGATGTCACCGACGGCAACGAAGGCCCTGATACAATGGGGGGCGATCTCGCCCAGGATAATAACCGCCATATTTAACTCCAAAGGAAGGAAAGTGTCAATTATACAATTCTATGCACCCACAAACAACGCAGACCTCGAAAAGAAAGAAGAAATCTACAGGCAACAATGGACAATACTCCAGTTGGTGACATTAAAATACTAATGGGAGACATGAACGCCAAACTGGGATTTCTGACATTTGGATTCCTAGGCGTAATTTATTCTTAGAGGTATGACTCATTATTAGACGGTTGGAAGTAATCGACAGGAAGCCTCCAACCTAGATTTCTTGCTTGTTGGAACTCAACAGTCAGCAAAGCATATCTGCAACTTTGAAGGGATTCATGTTATCGTTTAGGATTTGAAGCCGCGTTATCTAACCCTGAAGTCAGAGACGTTACCGCCTTATCTATTCGGATTCACTATTGAATTCCTATAGGATTTTGAAGGGTACACTGCTCGGTCACTAGGTAGTAACCGTTGGCGCACTGGCCTAAACACCTTTTTATTAATCAAGGGAATCTTGCTACAAGTCCAACTTTACTTTGATCAAGTGTTGCAAGGATTTGATTGGTTACAGGTTAGGGTTAGGGTTACTGAGCTGTTAGGGACTACTGCTCATCTGCTTCTTCCTAGTTTGGGAATCTTCAGCTATCAGTGTTCGAACCGGCGACCTTCTGGTTACGAGACGAGCTCATAGACTATCCAGCCACTGGGACCCAGTCTAATGACCCTCGTAATATTCTACTGAAGACTGTTGCATGGGACGAAACAATACATTATAAATTCCACTGACTGAGTGCGAAATAGGGACTAATGTAAAAGTTCATACGCATAAGAGTCAGTCAAATTTTCTCATTTGAATCCCAATATATGATGCCAATTGATGTAGAGAGTTCCGTAAAATAGGGTCTGTTGATATATTGGCTGCTGTTGCAGATGTCTCGATGATGAGCTTATTGGCGATACCACCACTCACGGGAATATAGGTAGATCAAACTGATAAATTCTGAGCTGGACTATTAGCCACCATCAATTAAATAATGCATGGAATTTTTGGGGTAGCTTAAGATTTAGGCAAGCCACCATAAAAAGATCCAGATATCAAAGTACCTCACATGTTTCTAACCAGAGTATATTTTACCACTTTGTTAGTTCAGGAAATATGATCAAAATCAGTTTCGGTTTACTGCCAAAAATGTTGGTTAAGTGTGTTAGATCACCGTAATGAGCATCGAGAGGCCTCTTTTTTCATCCAACACTTATCTGAAATTCTAATCCACTTTTATTCAATATCTATTAGCTTATAATCAAGAAAGTTTTTTATCCTTGTCGTAAATTTTAGAATTATCAAAATACAACCATCTAATATCATCAAATCAATGTGCACCGTGATTGGGGGAACAAAGATGTTACTGGTTGTAGTCAGCACTTAATTTATGACCAGCGAGTTCCTGATTCGAGTACTATTGCATGTACTTCAACCAAGTTAATATCATGATCCCTAACCTAATAAATATAGTCTATTGTCCGACACATTACAACACCGTTTTGTGTATCTGTGTTCAAACTTTACTAAATCCAGTCTTCTGAAGTAATAAAACAAATTATTCATTCAAGTGTTGGTTTGTAGGGATTTGATTGGTTTTCAAGATTTCATCATGAGCTGACATTAGTTAGAGAACCTGATGGTCCAACCAATCAAATCCCTACGAACCAACACTTGAATACCAATGAGATGTTCACTGGCGACTGGCCCTATTCAGGTAGGTAGTTACCTGGGTTCCAGTGGGAAGTCGTGACCAGTAGGGTGCAGCGGGTCGGGTGTGAGGACAAATAGTCACCGAAGGCATTGGCTAGCGGTCGCGCCATGTCGTGAATTGGCAGAAGTTAGAATTCATGGGATGGCCATTGGATCGGGTCCCAGTGGCTTAATGGTATACGAGCTCGCCTTGTAACCAGAAGGTCCTGGGTTCGAATCCCGGTGGATGCGTAGTGCTGAAGAGTCCCGAACCAGACTGATGAAACAGCTGTCCAGTACTCCCAGGTTTCCCAATGGTTCTCTAACTAATGTCAGCTCATGATGAAATCCTGAAATTATTCATTGTTCATGTCAGGAAATAGTAGCAGTGAACTGATTGCCTAATAAATAATGCTTTTGATATAGGCATTCATTTGTCATATGGCTCATTTACTCTAATCCTCTTCCATGTAATTCAGCCTGCCCACCTTTGATGTATCATCAGTCTTCACACAATAAGTGTGCTGCATGAGAAATCTGTCCTGAGTAACTACTTTCTTCTAGTTCCGTACTAATGAGTTACACAGATAAACATTGTTGATGATTAACAATAAGCGGTTATACCTAACTACCGCTAAATGACATCTTACATAGAATGTTCCCTTCTTATATATAATGGAGAACATAACATTAATCAATATAAAGGCTGTGGAACGATGGTTAGAACTCTCGCCGACCATTAGTCAGTGAAATAAGAATAGAACTCGTGCACTGTGGTAAAGTATAATTCCATTATAGGTAAAATTGATTTTGATTTATTTTGTCCATGTGAGGCAATTAAGTAGCCTGTAGATACAATAATGAATAAAGTTAAAAAAATCTACAGCGGATTGAATACACGGAATAAAGCCTTCATTGGGTGAGTCGAATTGGTTTAATTTAATACCTAAAAGTAATAATGCTAGTAGAATGTATGGCAGTATTAAAATACATAAGCCAGGTTACCCCATACTACCAATAGTAGATTTTAGAAATGCCCCTACTTATGAATTATCAAAACACTTGGCTCTAATATTAGGCTCTAATATTAGAAATCGTTCAAACTCTAGACTAACTAATTCATTTGAGATGAAAAATAAACTAAATGACATTCAACTAGAAAATGATGAAACATTGGTTAGTTTTGGTATAACTAGTCTTTATACTAATGTACCAGTCAATATGGCTTTAGAAGCAGCTAAAAAAGAAATAACTGCGGATCCTGAACTCAATCATAGGACAAAGCTGCCCATTGAAAAAATTATGTTAGGGATTCAGTTATGCCTAACATCTACTATCTTGAAATTCCAAGGTAAAATATATAGAAAAACAGAAGGTGTAGCAATGGGATCACCAATATCCCCTATTGTAGCAGACATATTTATGGACAGCTGGGAAAATATGGGGGCTAATACATTTAATCCTGCTCCAAAAATATGGTAAAGATATGTGGATGACACTTTCACAGTGTTAAAAACAGAACATATCTCTAGCTTCTTGAAACATATAAACTCACTGGTAAAGGGAACCGGAAAATGAACAAGAAGAATTAGCTATTTTAGATTGTAAAATAAAACGAATAGAAGAAGGTAAACTGCACACTAGCGTTTACAAAAAGCCAACGCATTCTAATAGATATTTAGACTTTAACTGTCTGTGAAGGCAGGCCTAGTTAAGTGTCTAACAAACCGAGCAGTAGCACTAAGTAGCACAGAAGAAAGACCTAAATGATGAAATAAAGCAGATAGAAGAGGCGTTGGTGTTTAACTATCTTATAGAATTCATTGGGAAGATCGGAAAAGGTTAAAAGTAAAATGAAAATAATGGTGAAACTAATAATGATAACATATATAAGAGAGAATGTAAGGCATCTACAGTTTTACCATATAAGTAGGGGATACCTGAGATCCTACGTGGTAGGATTCTCAACAAAGCAGGAATTAGGGTTGCATTTAAACCTACAAACTCACTCAGATAGGACCCTGTAGGTTGACCCAATCAGACAAAATAATAAAATTTACAAAATACCCTGTAATGACTGTGAGTTAAGTCAATAACATATGTCAAACCAGTAGACTGGAGGTAATTAGATTGTCGGAACATAAGAATTTAGCTAAGGTTAGAATGGCTGACCCCGAAAAGATAAGTAATCTAGAAGAAAACTCAGCAATCACACTGTATGCATTAACACACGATAGGGTGGGAAAGGGCTAAAATTGTGAAAAGTAATATAAGTAGGTGAAGAGAAAGGTTGATTACTGAATCTTTTTTCACTGAGTTTACACCCAATACATGCAATAGGAATGACTCATCACTCATACCGGAAATATGGAGAACACTGCTACCAATCAAATCAAGCGATGGAAAATAATGGAATTATATAAACGAAGTTAGAAAGTTGTGTGGCTACCTTGATATGATTATGAGCAGCAATAAATTGTGCTCGAAACGTCATCAGTGAATGTTACTGTATGACACTGTGAGACTTTATCGAAATAAAATTTACCCATAATAGAAAAATTAGTCAGTGTTATTGTTTATGTCATTAAAATGTTTCTAAAATATGATGGATAATCAAAATTGTAACTAGGGGGTCGAAGATTGGTATGTACTGACAAGGATTGAGTAATATGAAATAGGATGTTAATGGAGACTTGTGTGTTTACCAATTTAACTGCTCATGTGAAGCGGGATATATAAGTCGTTCAGTGAGTGTCTTATCTAAAACAGTCAAAGAACATTATTCCGCTTGGCTACGAAAATGTAACAATGGATCGATAAGGAGTGCTATAATCGGAAATATCTTCAACACTAGTCACTCAATATATATATATATATATATATATATATATATATATATATATATGGGGAATTCGTGCAAAGTTATCTACAAAGTCAAAAAGAGCCTCATGAAAATGGTAAGGTTCCGTATACTTTGCATTGCCAAGGCCTTAGCGATCCGGATAGAAAATACTGATTTCTGCACACAGAATGAACTTCTCCACCCCCCTCCTTCTACCTTTGGTAAAAGTCCAAGTTTTACTCCTTTTTTTATTTAATGTTTTGTTTATTTGTTTTTTCTGATTTTCGTATGGCATCTTAGTATCATCTTCTTCTTAACCAACACCCTTTATTTACTCTTTCTACCTATTACATAATTTATTTTGCAGACATGTGTCTGTATTAACATACTATTTCATATTACGCAACCCTTGTCAATACTTATCAATTTTCAGCACCCTAGTCACAATTTTAATTATTCATCACATTTTAGAAACATTTTGATGAAGTAAAAACAATAACCTCAACTGATTTTTTTTATTTTTGTTTGACAGATCTAATATGTGTACACACGTACACACCCAAAATAATTATACATAAATGGGATTGTACAGTGCTAAGTAAATGAATTCACCACCGAAAAGAGACTCTTCGCTGAACTTTGTTGTTCTTATAAAAAATGAAAGTATTGCTTTCCAGGTTCAATACTAGAGAATGCTCAACAGCCATTTGGAAGCTGTTGGTTAGTTTTCCAGCCATCGGATGCATTATTAAACCTTGACTGGTTTTCTGACTGGTAGTAAGTTCAGGTAAAAAAAGAGGAGATTGGACGTATGGCTAACAACCCCCAACTAGTTTTAAAAAAAATAAAAAGCAACACCAAGGCTAGTGAAATTTCAAAGGTTTGATGAAACACACACATGAAGTGAGAGTTAGAGAAAACAAAAAAAGGACAAACCTTTCCCATTCTCATAATTTCATATTGTAATTCATGGATTGCTTCATTTTTACTTTTTAGCAAATCCTTTTTTCGGGAGATAAAAAATAAACCAAGGGAAAATTAAGAAGATTTATCAATAAGGTTAAAGTTTTTTTCTGTTATTTTAATATTTAATGTTTCATTTATATAAAAACTAACCATTACAGTGGTGATTACTAAATTTATAAATGAAATCAGATTGACGATTTTGTTGAATATAATATAATTAAAATGATACATCTTGTATACATCTCGTATATATTTTTTTTCTTTTAATTGACATATCTGTTGTGATAATAACTTTCTCGCGTGATTACAAAATACACGCATCTTTGTTCGCGATTCGTCATTTCACTCTCCTCAACTGTATATCATCCATTCTAATTCTACTCTTGCATAGTTTGGAATTTGTGCGTGGGTGGCACAGTGGTAGGATGTTTACCAACCACGCAGGTGGTTCGGGGTTCGATTCCCGGCCGGTTCACTCCCTTACCTCACTAAGTCAGTAGTAAGTCTGGTGAAGAGGGAAGATTGACTGGGCATGAGGCTAACAACCCCACTCCGTAAAAATGAAGGTCACTGCTAGAGAAGCTCCAAGCTTCTAGCTTGAAGCCCTTTGTTGCACTGGAACGTATATGAATAAAATAATATAATAAAATATGATACTATGCAATTTTACAGGAATCTCTCATCCACATCCAAACAGCATTCATCAAGTACTTGACAACATCTCCAGTGGCGAAAACACTATCGAATCCCAATCCTAAAGAACTGTGTCTCTGAATTATATTGTTAAAATTTTGGGAGTGGATTTAATCCTATTTGTAAGTAACCATGCTCTTTTATAACCCATTCACATTATAATAGTTGTAATATACTATCTAAATATCTTTACTAATTTCAACTTTTACTTTGATATTTTGTATAATTCCGGAGTTTTATGTTTAGTTCCTCACTATTTATCGGTAAGCGCGATGTAATCTGAACACACAACTTTCTGATCTGAAGTCAGAATTTCGATTAAAACAAAAGATTAGCCAAAATGTGTCATATTTTTGGCATTCAACAAGAAGTGTACAGAATCGTCAATCTGGCATCTACACACCACACCAAAAGGTCAGTTCACACTTTTTGAGTGACCTAAAACTCGTAACTCAATTATAGATAAAATTTTATTTTGATAAAGTCACACAGTGTTATACAGTAATATTTACTGATGTGTCGACGTTTCGAGCACAATTTATTGTTGCTCATAATCATATCAAGGCACTACTCACACAACTTTCTTGCTTCATTTACATACATGAGTAAAAACTGATGATTAGACATTTGAATAAAATCAATATGAGATAAAGTACATTCGGAAATAATAATATTAATGTTTTCAATAAAATACAACAAGATGGGAAATAAGACGAGTGTTGTCATAACTTGTTAGATTATTATAATGTGAATTGAAATAGAATTTTGAGATTATTCATTATCCTCCTCTGAAATGACTGGTAATAATAATATCTTTCATATCTCGGGTATTTGCGTTGAGTGGCTTCTATTGTATGTGTTGTCTGTAGATTTGATGAACCAGGATTCAGTAATCAACCTCTCTCTCCACCTACCTATATTACGTTTTAGAATTTCGACTCTGTTCTACCGCATTGTGCGGTTGTGTGTTGATGCATGCAGTGCTATTACTGAGTATTTTTCTATATTACTTGTCTTCGTGGGATCGATCATTCTAACCTTAGCTAAATTCTTATGTTCTGATAATCTCGCTACTCCTGATCTACAAGTTTGACCTATGTAGTTGACTTAACTGACAGTCATTGCAAGGTATTTTTGAATCCTCGCACATCGAGTCTACACCCAACACATGGAATAGAAGTGACTCAATGCAAATACCAGAGATATGGAAGATATTATTACCACCAGTGAAATCAGAGGAGGGTAATAAATAATCCTAAAATGTGTTCAATTCGCATTAAAACGTTCTAACAAGTTATTCATTTATTTTACTATAAAAAACATCTTATTTCCCATCTGATTGTATTTTACTGATAACATTAATATTATTTATAAATGTACTTTATCTTATATTGATTTTATTCAAATATCTAATCATCAGTTTTTACTCATGTATATAAATGAAGCAAGAAAGTTGTATGAGTGAGTAATGTCTTGATGTGATTATGGGCAACAATAAATTGTGCTCGAAACGTGGTCAGCAATGAATATTACTGTATAACACAACACTGTGTGATTTCATCAAGATAAAATTTTATCCACTATGGAGCTGTACTCTACCACAGCACCCAAGTTTTATCCTTATGTAGATAAACTTATCTTGTTGGAACACCATGGAAACTAAATAACTTTGTTTTTGTAGTCAAACTTGCCATTTTGCTTTATTAATCAAGTTATATTGGTGCTTAACACGTGCTCCTGGGTAGGATTCCCAGCTGACACCCTTCTAAACCTCACTTAGGTTACTAACGTATAGTAAGACTGAAAAAGTTGGAAGATCGGGCGCGGGACTAGCGACCCCATCCCGTTAAAAGCAACATCAACGCCGCTGAAGCTTTGAAACCTGAAACCCTACTTTTTTATTCAGAACTTAATAAAGAAGACAAGTTAATTTTTACCCAGCTTTCAAAATTCAAAGTTTTCATTCATTTCTTATTTTCTCAAGAAGTTTGTGGAAATGTTAACATCATGGTTTGCTCACAGTACTTCAGTTTACATTGATGTAAAAGAATACTAACGTATTCTTAGTTTACTTAAAAGTTAAACCGAAGGTTTAATTAGTGAACTAAGTTGGATGAAACTTCCAATACCATACGTAAAATCTAAGCATTTGTCAACTTGCATTCCTAAATTTTTTGACAGATAAATCTGTATGATATTGCCGAATAGTTATGACTGATGAGATAGAAGTACGAAGTCAGTCCCTGCATCATGTAGAGAGATGTAGTTTGAGTGATTTGGTGTCCTCAAGGTGTTTAAAAACAATGAATGAAGATATTCGATGACATAGTTTAAAGCTAATCCCAACTGCTAACATTATTCTTCAATATCACTAGTCTTTATTTAATTTTTCTTCCTTGTCTAAGATTTATTTCTAAGCAGCAAAGTATCGTCCTATTTGTCTTTTTTATTTTATTTTTAATTGCCACTTTGATGTGGAACAACTTCAACTGATGCATTACTGTTCAGTGTTCCACGTTTGTCTGTCTAATCTGAAGATCAATAAGAGAACTAACGAACAAACAAGGTTTAATGTATATCTCGTCAAGACTCGACATCACTTAAATAATCATTAGGTCATTGGTAATCCCCAGTAGCTGCTACCGACAACACCACCAAAGAACTAACCCAGCCAGCCTTTCTATCATTCAGTTACTCGGTTTGGACTTAGTGACTAATAAATTCTAATTTCCGCCAGTTCTTGGTATAGGGCCAGCTAATATTATCAATGGGAATCCACTTGACTGCGACACGGTAACCCTACTAGACCAGGCCTTCAATTCTAACTCCAGGACATACGTCTAACGGTCAATAAAAACCCGGAAATTAACATTCAGACTTTTATGTTTTGTGGTGATGACTCTTAGATGTCCAATACTTCTTGGTTTTAGATGATTCTGATATATATAGACCTAATTATTTACATGTCATTTTTACGTGTCTGTCTGTACCTCTCTCATCCCACTTATTGATTTATAACCTGATTTTCTCCTACCCTACCTATGACCTCTGAAATCCTATTGGTTGTTAGCTGTCCTTATTTGTCAATGACATTAGTGCTTCTCAAGGTCATTTTAAGCATATAGATACTCAAGTTCTGTCAACCTTCTCTGAACTGTTGTTTTTGAGACTGTGAAAGCTCTCTTGCCAACGTCCAGTCTTCGCTTCTATCTTTTTGCTGCCAGGCAGTATTATTATTATTATTGTCGTTGACGTGTGATAAGGACAAATCAACTAGGTCATAAAAGATGCTCCTACTGATATTGATACATGTTGAAGTCTACACTAAAACTGATCCAAATCCCTACTAAATCTGAAATTCTGAAAAAAAAATAATGATAAGAGTAGTAAAAATGGGCTTTACTTACTTCTAAGTGTCCTTTAGCTATTTCAACAGATTGTGGATCACTATCAAGTGCAATTAATAATTGTTTAACTTGGGCTTCACGTGTTTCTAACATTTCAGCTAAATATTGTAATTTTCTTTCAACTAATAAAGTTTTCAATCCCATACGTTGTTGTACATCCAATAAAAGTTTTTCAAAAGTTTGAGCTAAATTACCTCGCATTTTATCTAGCTGTTGAATAAATTTTGTTTTTAAAATATCAATAATTAGAATGATTATAATAAAAATATTTTTCATTAAATTTATAATTTTGCCAGAAGAGATACTTCTGAACTGAATTTATTATTATTATTATTATTACCTTGGTTCCCAAGTAGGCTTCAACAGAACATCTCCAGTTAGTCTTATTCTCTGCAGTCTCTTCATCTGCCCACACGGTTGCCCATAATCTCTTTCATCTCTTCCATTCAACCCTCATACTCACACCCCACTCGTCGTTTCCCATTTGAGTTCCACTCAAGGGCTTAGAGCGCGATTTCACCCAACGTGTCCTCAATGTAGGTTCCATCTATAACCATCTTTTTCAGTATATTTGCTGAGTAGTAGTTTCTTGGTTGATTCCCGAAGTTTCTTGTTGCTAATTATTTCTGGCTAGCCGTCTGATCTTCAGAATGCAGCGAAGGTAGCTGTTAACAAAAGTCTGTAATCTGTTGGAAGAGCGTTTTGTGGCACGCCAAGTTTGTCACCCATACAGAAGCCCTAACTGACTTAACATTTGATGTTGAAAACCCGAATCTTGTTGTTTACACTGAATTCAGAAGACTTCCAGACTCATTTCAGAGTGATCAAGGTCTGCTTTGCCTTTTAGATTCTGGTTTCGATATTCTTGTCCGTGCCATCGCCTATAGTTAAAACGATACTGCCCAGATAAGTGAAAGCGCTAATCTCTTTCAAATATCTTGCTTTAGTAGTGATCGGGGCTGGTTGTTGTTGTTGTCGATGTTGGTTGGTTATATTCATCACTTACATCTTTTCTATGTTCACATGGCGTCAGATCTTCGAGTTTACGTGACATTAGACATAAATCGTCCGAGAAATCCAGATCTTCTAGACCGAATTAATCAGTCTCATTTCAATCAGTTGCCCACCCCTTCATGAATCCCTGAATACTGTTTTGATTTGTAACTTGAAGTTACTAGTCTAGTGTTGGCTGGTAGTGGAATCCAAGATGTACGCGATGGATAACAATCTGGCGCATGAAATGATTTGTGCTACTGGATTGCATTCCCAGTGGAGATATACCCCATTGGGATTTAATTCCTAGTGTGTTATTTTGAATTTCATTAACAGCCATCACTGAGCAAGCAACTACAATAATAATAATAAATACTCAGAATGCCATTATAACATTAGAAAGTTCATGTGTATTATGTGTATTATATATATATATATAATGAACTCTGTGCAAGTATGCTAAAACTGTCCCTGTAGATATACTTAATAATGGCTTTGGCCTGCTAGCAGCTGATGAGAAGTCAGCGTAATAAATGATCGTACCATTTTATTCTGCATAAAGTCTTGTTCTTACTTTATTCAAATTTATTAAGGGAAATAAATGTATGAAATAATGTATTTTTTTTAGCTTAGACGCATTTTGTGTGATATTAAATGTTTGGGGATTGTTTGTCAGCTGTTCTGCTGTTGATCGACATTTATAACGAAACTGCTGACCATTCGGTGTTGCCGTAGCTGTCAACACTCATTTAATAATGTAATAGCTATTTCAATATTTCCGTTGTGAATAAACTTACTCAAACCTACCGTTTTGCCCCTATCTAATATATAGACTTAACTTAGAAATTCTCTGCTATTCATAAGGCATTATTCATTCACATGTTTAATGTTCCGCTATCCAACTGTTAGTTTTCATTTGCAATCGCTGGCCTGTATGCAGCACTGTGCATTGTGTAACTACAAGTTAACGTTTTTCTGTGAGAGAGGGGAGATCGAAATTATTTTTAGTTCATCAGATGATGTAAATACCTCATGGCAGGGGGAACTTCAGGTTCATAGAATAATTTTCTTTACACCGAATGAAAATTTATGGTTTATAAAGTGGATAACATGGACTTGAAGTTGATTAGCCTAAAATTACTTTTTTTTCTTTCTTTTGCTATCTCATCCTTTTGAGCTCTGAGTGGAATATTAGGTATGAAGCTTGAGGTCTGAAGTTTTTGTCGCACTGGCGTTTATTTTTCACGGTGAAGGAGCGTCACTAGCCCTACTCCCAGCTGTCCTTCTTTACTGGACTTAGTACCGGCTAAGCGAGGTTTAGGCGTGCATAGGCTGGTGATTGAAATCTGAACCATATGAGACATGGTTGACAAACCACTGACAAAAAGGCAACCACTCGACCGGGATTTTTACATGACAGGCAGAGATACTCTCCACTATACTGTAGAGGAGCACAATTAACTCAAAACGAATCATTCTAACTTAAAATTTACAATTAGCAGTTAGAACAAATAACGAATACAAAAATAATCTTGACGTTTAGGTTATTCAACTGAAGCAATATTTTAATTAGCCTATACTTATCTATTACTTCTGTAATTAGCAATCAATGAATATTCTTATTAAATTGACTAGTAATATTAATAATACTTTGATAAAACTATTAGCATTAAATAACGAAACGTCAGTAAAAACAATATCGTTTTGTTTTTCATTCATTAGGAAATAGAAAATCCTTTAGTATAATAAATGAGACTAGTGTTCAGATGTTTTAGTTTAATAGGCATTCAGATTAATTTCGATTCTCGATTTCGTCACATATCAGTAACAGTGTGGAGTATCAGTGGAAACTTGAATAGCTATTTAATCCAAGTGCATAACTACAGTCCCACAAGGATTCGAACCCATAACCTTCAGACTACGAGGTGAGGTTATTGAACATTTAGTCACTGAGTTGAAGATCAGTGACCTCATGAATTCTAACTTCTGTTATTTCGTGAAACAACTACTCAGTACTCATCGGTTTTCAATGATCCCTCTGGATGATGTCATTTCCTGACGAAATCAACTCTGAAATAAGCTTGTATTCAAAGCTTAAAAAGTGAGTAGAAGATATCTCTTTTTCAAACCTACTTATTTACACTTACAGCTTCAAATCGAGCTTTCAGCAAATCATAATTGTCTTCTAAATTCTTCATTGACTTCAACGTTTTTTTAGCATTATTTTTCGTCAGCTTGAAAAATGAAGAAAAAACACATTGAGTTACAGTTTAATTGAAAACTATATGAGTTGTTTTCTTCTTTCGCAATCCCTTTGTGTCTTGAGTCGAACACAAGGTTTTAGGCTTTGAAGTTTCGGTAGCACCTGTGGTTCTAGGGGATAATGTTTTAAGCCTCACGTTTAACTTTCCACCTCTTTTTCTGGCTTCCTACTGACTAGTAAAGTAGGCGAGGTATAAGAGGACGTCGCTGGTGTGCATTGTATCTCTTATGAACTGGTCGAGAATTTAATAGTCCTGACGCAAGAAAGACGGAAATCAGAAGACCACTAGGTTTGCGATGATACTTATATTTTCCAAACACAAAGAGAATCAAAATGTCACACAAGAGTGTGAGAGCAAAATATAAGAATGTCCGAACAAGTGTGTGAGCGAATATTCAAAATGAACAAATCAATAGACAGTCTTAACATGATTGGCTAATTATAATGGAATATCGATCCATATATACATAGCAAAATATATCAGACTGTCAAACAAACACACACATTATATGGATATATATCACCAAGGACAGACTGTCAAACAAAACACACATATTATATGGATATATATCACCTCCCCTTTTGAGAAGATTGATGATTAGTAGGGTGTTTTCCTGGGGGTTTATCTGGAACCGTTGAACTTGTTGTTGACGTCTGTCTGTTGGGTTTGCGGCTTCGGCTTCGTCCGGAATTGTCTGACATTTTACGCTTCTTGACTGTATTGAATAGCGAATTTAGTGGGACATCAGCCAGATGCAAACGATCGAACCAATCAAGTCCCAAAAGATTTAAATCACTCTTGGTGACGTAGCAAATTCCTGTGAATTTGATGTTACGGAATGAAACAGAACATTTGAGTTCACGAATTAGTTTGAGCCGCCCACCACAGGCGCTGACAAGAGTCTGGGAAGTATTGGTGATAGGTGGTCTGCCAATATCATTCCAAATTTTCTCTGATATAACAGTAATATCAGAGGCGGTATCTAGCTGCAGACGTGCATCATCACCATTTATCTGAAGATCAAGATATTTCCGCATACCTGGCGTTGTGACTTGACAGGTTGCGACTAGACTCAATGACTTTTTGGGGATTCAGGACCAACAGTTTGGCGAGGTTTCGCTGGATTATGATATCTGGGTTTGCGTGGCTGACAAAAACCATTTTTATGACCGATGACTTTGCACTTGCTGCAACGATGATTTTTGTATGGGCAAGACTTTACAAAGTGCCACGCGCCACAATGCCAGCATGGTGATGGTGGGGTCTCCTCTGCAGTAATTTGAGAAGTTGGACGAGTATGTGTAGATTTACGCGGAACATTACAAGAAGGTGCGTCAGGACTGGATGATGAAAGATTTTTGCACTTTCGTAATGCATGAATATCAGAGCTTCTGGAAGGTGTTGGTTCGACCAGGTGTGTGTCTTTCTGCAAATTAATCAGCCGTTGATATTCATCAGCTATATCATGTAATGTTAACTTGGGATTTTGTTCTAGCTGATTGAGCAGTCGAGTTCGGGTATCTGTGAAACGAGGAGATTGGAGACTGCATATGAGAATCAAGGCTTTGAATTGATCATCTGTTAAGGACCTGAGTCGAAATCTCTCACATTCTCGGTTGACTGTGCCAACGTGAGTAAGAAAATCATCATTTTCATTCATTGTCAGCTTGAGCGAACCATAACGTATGCTGAATAATGAGGAGTGGTCTCCAAAATGTTCACGCAGCGGCTTTATTGTATCATTGAAACACTTGTCACGTGGTTTCTGGGGTAAAATTAGGTTGCAGTATCTTTCATATTCTGCGGGACCCAATATACGTAATAACAATCGCACCTTCCAAGCATCGTCTTGAGAGGCAAGATCAACTGTGAATAAATCCTCATATCGTTGATACCATGTATCAAAAGTGACATTCGCATCTGGATTATAATTGAACTGTGAAATACTATTCACAATGCCGTCGACAGATGGTAGCATGGTATGATTCGGGTTGCTTGAAGGTGAAGCTGGACCAGTCAGTTGGTTGACGAACATTTCCATTAATTTCATTTGTTGTTCAAATAGTAATTCCAATTTAGAAGAGTCCATAGTTATCCCCGTCGCCAAATTATTGTTATGGACTGGTCGAGAATTTAATAGTCCTGACGCAAGAAAGACGGAAATCAGAAGACCACTAGGTTTGCGATGATACTTATATTTTCCAAACACAAAGAGAATCAAAATGTCACACAAGAGTGTGAGAGCAAAATATAAGAATGTCCGAACAAGTGTGTGAGCGAATATTCAAAATGAACAAATCAATAGACAGTCTTAACATGATTGGCTAATTATAATGGAATATCGATCCATATATACATAGCAAAATATATCAGACTGTCAAACAAACACACACATTATATGGATATATATCACCAAGGACAGACTGTCAAACAAAACACACATATATGGATATTTATCAGTATCCCAACGCCTTTATGAATTATGTAAAGGATAATTCTACTTAAATTGTAAGGAAATATGTGTACATTATTTATGAGGGGCTGTTTAAGGATATTCCTAAATGGCTCCAGAAACAAATGGAATCTTCAGAATCCATTAATGGTGAGATCAGTACACCTAGCTCTTCTATTGCGAAACATATTATAGAGGAAGGGTATAAAATTGGTGTTAACAGATCTTTTAAACCTATGTATAAAGCGTGTTTGAGGCGTATCCTAAAGTGTGTGGAAGCCCTAGCAATTAGAAAGTTCAAGCCACCTTTATGAGTTCAAAAACTTCGTCGTCACATTAAACCTTGTTTGGTAAATTTTGTTTTGATACCATAGCAGATGTACTATCACCTCTGCTATTTGGTTTAGTGGTCTTCATTGTTATTTTGACCTTGAATATGTCCTTTTAACTTGACCTAAGTCTATTTTCTCACCTCTTACCTCTTTATTAATTTCATTTATGTTCTTATGACAAGTCCGTGTGTGATCAGATTGTTGGAAATGTGTTGCGCAAATACATTACACGATTCAGACAAATTACGTCTTCTTACTGTTTTATCTAAATCCATATGAAATAGGTTAAATAATTATAAAAGTTTCAAATGGGAACTGATTTTATTCATGTTAATCTAATGAATCATTGGCTCGAAGTGTTGGTGAAATGCATCAAAATCTTTTTCAATGTTGCTTCCAAAAGTTGTATTTGTTGTTTGTTTGTACTTAAAATATCCATAACGGGGAGATGATAAGTGCTGAGTTCCATCTTCAACAGAAACATTATCATATTCAAGTATTGGTTTGCAGGGATTTGACTGATTTCAGGATTTCATCATGAATTGACATCAGTTAAAGGACCCTTGGAAAGCCTAGGAGTACTGGACAGCTATCTCGTCAGCCTCGTTTGGGTCTCCTCAGCAGTACGCACCCACCGAGGCTCGAACCCACGACCTTCTAGTTACAAGGCGCGCTAGCTCGTAGACCATTGAGCCACTGGGACATGATTCAATGGTCCATTAATCCCAACTTCTGACAATTCATGATATGGCGTGACCGCTAGTGAATGTCACTGGTGGCGACTATTTGTCCTCTCACCCGACCTATGATCAGTGGTATACAGCAGCAGTTCATAATGAAATCCAGAAAGATCATGGCTCACTAGGATGCAGGCATACCTATCAGACGATTGCAAAACAAGACAAAATATGAGTCATGATTTCTAGTGTGAAATCTAAGGCATCATGAAGTAGGCATACTAGAAGTCAATAATCTGATAGAGACAGTTCACTTTTGGTCTAGTAACACTAGACAACAGGAAGTTAAGAAGCTTCTTTAAATAGGAATCAACATTTAAGACACAAGAGGTGATTCGTATGTATGGCACAGTATTTCTTCGGAGCATAAAACACTCAGAACATCAACATCATCGTTCAATTCAGGTACATCTCACTGATGAATACGTAACAGATCAAAACGTTAGTCCTAGATCCCACTGCAAGCTACAATTAAACAAGTAATTTTCATGCATACTTCTTAAAAATAATTAGCATAATAACGATATTATTTGATTATTTATTAATATAATACAATAACAACAAAATAATTCCTAGTGTCATTCCACTTACAACATGTGCACTTTTCTCCATTTCATATAAATGTTCAATTTGACGTAAGTGTACATTTTCCTTATCTGTCTTAGCTAATTCTTCTTTCTTTTTATTCAATTCAACATAACTTTCATCAAGAAGACGTTGAACACGTGATAGCTGACAACGTAATTCATCTATATTTTCCTATTTATTTTTAAAGTATTTAGTTAAATAGTTGATAAAATATGATTTCCTTTTGTATATAGAGATTGTTATAAAAATTAGAATAAATGAAATAAAAAATCTTACGTTTCCTGTGTATTTATTTATGTATGTATCGGATGGAAATACTCGATCTTTTTTTGACATTTTGGCTCCTAGTACCGATACTTAGTCAAAGTCTGATGATTATACAAGACATCATTTGGTTGCTAGGGTATAGCAGTGGAATTCAGGAAGCCTATTTCATCCTACTTCTTTTCATTTCAAAACTAAGTGGGAACACCATCAATGTTTGGGGATGCAGGGACTTCCAGTTGATGAGTTCGAGATAGGTTGAAACACTCATCCTGAATTCCACTATTAGCCAGCATCAAACAAATAATATCAGGAAATTAGTTCACATAAAATTAACGGATCAGTTATTTATAACCGATGGCTTAGAAATCTTTATTATTGCATCAAAATCTAAACAATGTTGTCATAAAATGTAAGATACAATTAGCTTAGCATATAAGCTGTAAAAATGATTGATATGTACGCTATTCATTCATTTGTGTTCCTAACGGAACATGGGGCTTCAATAGAATATCTCCCTTTTTATTCTGTTCTCTGTAGTCCTATTTAGCTGGCTAAAATATTAACCAAAGGTTCTTGTCTCCCCTTCACAAAATCTCGTCCATTTCACCCTGGGCTTCACATACAACTCATCGTTACCCATCCGTGTTCCACTCAATGGCCTACCTGGCGCACGATTTCATTCGATGACCTCCTCAGTGTGTATCCGATCTATATCCACTTTCTCCTATATGGTTGATGGGGAATAGGATTCTTGATTGGTTCTTTCCCAGAGCTTCTTGCTGCTAATTCTGTCTATCTGGCCATATTATCTTCAGAATGGAGCCGGTGACGGCAGCCACTGATAAAAGTCTGCAACCTGTTCGAAATACTTTTGGTGATATGCCAAGTCCTGAAGCATAAAGAAGAACTGACCTAACATTGTGGTGAGAGCTGTCTGCTAGCCAAAATTGGTAGACAGCAATTTACGTCAATGTTTGCATCCCAAATCTTGGTCATGAGAAAAAAACAAGAACAAAGACTAACTCAACAACTAATCACAGCAGACTCAGCTTGGGCAGATAAGATTATTAGATATATCAACGAACCGTCTCAGAAACGGAAACAAAGATATGGCAGAATAACCTTTAACAGGAAAAAAACTATTCAGAAGAAGTTACCCATCTGCTAACAATACAAATATATAAATGTCTGTTGATTTCCTCAATAAACGATTTGTTGCCTGGCCCTTGTCTTCTGTTGTTACAACATTAGTGTTGAAAATCGGTATCTTGTTCTTTTGCCGTCGTTGACATCTTTATCTGTGGAGCCTGTAATCTGTCTGTCTGTCTGGATTCAACATAGAACTTGGCACCGAAGTGCAGCAGTTCGAGTTGCCACGTTCCAAATAGCACACAGAGGTAGACAAGAAGATGAGTGGAGAGAATTAATAGAGTTTGACAAATATAGGAGTGAAACAGAATGGGTAATGGTAGAAAGGAATATGAAAGATTACAGAGATTGAATACATCTGCGCCATTGACAACGATTTTGAGCCATGTCACCTATTGTCTCCAGCCATTGATTCCTAGAGTCCCGAGGGCCCCAACCCGGGAGTCTGCATCTCCCTACCTGACTCAGTTTAACTGTCAAGGATTTCATGGATTGATGCCATGTTTTTGTTTGGCCACCACTGGCTCTTTTCCAACCTGAACCTATATCAGCTAACAATGCCCGTCGGGGGAGGCGGTGGTTAGGCATGCGCACCACGTGACCTAGCCATCTTAGTCTATGTAACTTTATAACCTCGTCGATTGATTTTCCCTCTTTGCCCAACACTCTACGCCTAACGTCAACATTACTTATCTTGTGAAACCACCTAACGTGAGACAGAGATCGCAGACATCTATGATCGAAAGCAGTCAACCTTTTCATGTCTTCAACGCGTATTGGCCATGTTTCAGAGCCATAGAGAAGGACGGAGCGAACTGATGAGCAGTACACACGTCCCTTGGTTGATAACCGGATGTCACGCCTACGCCAGAGATGGTGTAAGTCAGCGAAAGCAGCTCGAGCTTTTCGGATCCGTGCTGAGATTTCATCGCCAATCAGTCCGTTGGTGCTAATACAACTTCCCAAGTAGGTGAAGTGGTCAACATGTTCTATCACTTCACTCCCTATCACTAAGTTAGGGGTTGACGTCGTCCAGTCCTGTAGCAGCATCTTACATTTTGCAGGGGCGAATCGCATGCCAAACATACGAAGATTGCTGCTCAAGGTGTTCAGAAGACTCTGCATTTTGTCAGCATCCTCCCCTAACAGGACTATGTCATCTGCATATTCTAAGTCCATTAGATTATTCCCTGGTAACAAGTCGATTCCTAAGTCACTACGTTCAGTTAAGGATACTTCCATTAGCATATCTATGATGAAGTTAAACAGAAATGGGGAAAGTGGACATCCCTGTCGGACACCACTGGTTGTTACTAATTCAGATGACAATTCCCCATAAGCCCTTACACGACTACGTGAGTTTGAATAGAGTGCCTTGATTAGTGCAATGTACTTTCTTGGCACTCCCTTCACAGTCAGACATTGCCATAGTACTTTTCGGTCCACGGAGTCGAAGGCCGCCTTCAAGTCAAGAAATATGACAATTGTTGGACGCCGAAAAGTGTGTCTATGTTCTAGAATCTGTCGAAGAGTGAAGATATGATCTATGCACCCTCTACCTGGTCTAAAGCCTGCTTGATTTTCCCTTGTCTGTTCCTCCCGAGTTCTGCTTAGTCTATGCATGATTACTGAGCCTAGGATTTTAGAGACTATGTTCGTTAGGCTGATCCCCCTATGATTATCACACGAGGACTTGTTTCCCTTCTTGAATATCGGTATAATGAGTGACTTACCCCAGTCTGATGGTACTGTCTCTGATTCCCAGACTTTGCCTAGTACCTCAGTTAATCTACAAACTAGTATGTCACCCCCATATTTAAACACCTCCGGAATAATTCCGTCGGGTCCTGCCGCTTTGCCTCGTTTCAAATTACTGATAGCTTTTGTAACCTCACCTACAGACGGCGGACCAGTGTCTATATCCCATTCGGGTACGTGGTGGATGGCGGGGAGGTTCAGTGTGGCTGTAGGCAAGTTAAATTGTTCCTCAAAGTGTTCTTTCCAGCGTTCAAGGCGTCTATCCTGAGAGCTAATTAAGGAGCCATTTTTCTCAGAAATAGTCTCACTTATGAATTGCCTTTTCCCGCCCGATTCTGTGATGAGTCTAAAGAGTTGCCTAGTGTTGCCTATCGCCAATGCTTTTTCCATCTCTTTCGCCTTTGTCACCCACCACTGTTCACGGTCTTTGCGGAGACTTTTAGTAAGTTTCCTTTTGTGCAGCTTTCGCCTGTAATGATACGATGCTGCCTAAATAAGTGAAAGCATTGACTTCCTTTTAATTCATTCGTGATGTCCAAATCTTTTACAGTCTTCCTAGTTCAACTTATTCCAGTTTTCTCACTTCTTGCCGTCTGTTGCATGTACCAGTCCACTACTTACTACGATATAATTACCCTGTTATAGTGTCATCTCATTTGTTTCACTATCAATACCATTTAATTTGTCTTCGTTTACTACTTTTTCATAATGCGCGGATAAATTTGTGTGCTTTCAGATGAATGTACATTAAAATTTATGTAGATTTAAATGTATCATCCTTTGTGTTGACAGTGCTTATAGGTTCCAAAAAGGACAATAACTATGCAAAATTTTCGAAAACAAGTTTTTATACCATTGGAAACAACGCTTAGCAAAATAACTTGAGGAGAAATACATTTCTGTATTGTGAACAGTTAACCACGTCTTGAATGTTAGTACTTTCAGCCAAAAGGGTCCCCGGTTCAAATTTCGCTCCGCGTACTTCAGTCTGGACAGCTGGATGATACCATAAACTCCCCTTTTCAAGCTTTCAACTTTTATTAGCGGTAGTGATACTTTAGGGAGTGAGGCTACTAGTCTCACACCGAATCTTCCCTTTCTACCATGCTGACTACCAGCTAAATGAGTTATAGTAGTGCGGCGGCCGGATAGAGAACTGCGAACTATATGTGTGCCTGGCAATTAACGGTCGACGCATAATAAGTACAGCTCGTAGCCTAATACATGAAAACAGCCTCTTCCAGATAATCGAGTTCTTATTCACCCACATATTCATGGTTAACGGAATGATTTGTTTTAATCTAAATCCAATCATGAAAGGAAATTTCAGGAACAATGAATTGATGTCTTTTCAGTGGATATCTCATAAATATTTTCTACTTAGTTTTTAAGCTGATGATGTAAACCATTCACATTTTATCCTCACATACAATTATTATTATTATTCTTACGAGAACTTACGCGTAGTGTTTTAATTACACTGACATTGCCTAGTGTAACATCATTATAATACGACTTCATATTAGCAAATGCTTGTTCATGATTCATTTCTAAATTTTGTATATGCACATTTTTACGTTCTTCTGTTTCATGTACTTCAACACGACGTTGTGTATCAATTGTTTTACGTAACTGTGTCATTTGTGTACCAGCTCTTATTTCTAATTCTTCTCTTTGTCTGGAAAAATCTTGTCTTATATGCGCTATCTGTAATGAAGTAGACAAAATTGATTCCAGTTGATATTTATATATAAGTGATACTTAAAAGCATATTAAACTGTGAGTAAATTGAAGTCTTATTCGTTCTTGAAATGAACTGATGTGAAATTTTAATTTAGAAGCTTGCATAAGTGGCACGGCTTCAAGCTTCCATACCTTATAAATGTACACATAAAGGTAGAGAATAGATGGCATTGTGTGACTGGGTGGTTCAAGAGTAGAGCGCTCTCCGACTACGCCTCATGTGCTCCATTTTTTGATATCCTGCAGGTAAAGTCTACGACTTTACCTAACTACCAGCAATTCCAATAAATGGGAAGATTTGGTGTTAGGATAACACCACCGCCATTGAAACTTCAAGGCTTGAAGCTTGAGTCCCTATGTTCCATTCGGAACGCCAAAGAATATAAAAAAACAGATTTGTACTAGAGAAAAGATAATTATTTGAAGAATACTAAGAATTTAATAAACCTATGAGGTCACATAGTGAATATATATGCACCATTGAGAATAGTTTTGAGATGTATCCCCACTAATATCCATCTCATGATTTTTTACTATTTTGAAAACTCCGAACAATCAGTTGATGCCTCCACCCACCCACCCCCGACAATCATATACTTCATTGGTTATTTCTATGTTTGGGTTTCACCACCTCTGACTCTTTTCCAACACGATCATATATCAGCTAACATCGCTTCACGGGGAAGGCGACGGTTTCGTATGGGTAGCACGCATCCTATGCATCTAAGTTCATGAAGCTTTATTAAATGTCTTTACGAAGGGGAAGTTTAAAGACAGAAGATACAATACTCAGCATTTGTTGCTTCCATTCACCACAACTTTCAACAAAAAGGTATCCTGCTTTCTCAGTGAAGTAGTTTATTTAATTATACCTGTGAAGAGTTTATGAATTGTAGACTAGGCATATGAAATATTCTCTAAATAACTATTCTTAAACCAATAAGGGACAGCGAAATTTATAATTCTTTCGCCTCGCTGTGAATCAGATGTCAAAAAAGTACGTTAGGCTGTTCACCGAGCCCCATTCTATAAACTGGCCAACTATATAAGTACTTATAGAGATCCATTATCTGCAGTAATGTCAGCCAGTGAATCCGTGTGCCTAAGGGATATCTAGAATTGACATTTTCATCAGGAAAAAGCGCTGATTGTCACAGATTACTCCTGCGAAAAAAATGGTCATTATGTACAAATATACATCAAACATTTTTGCATGATAAATAAATTTAATGACTGAAATACTAAAACAACATCCACCATGTATAGAATACCTATAAATTAATGAATAATATTTGTAACTAATATAGATATTGTCGGTGTGGTTGTACTTCTCTGAACTGGATGGTTTAATTACAAAGTTTCCATTGTCCTTATTGAACAACCTCTTCAGTGTGGACTGCACACGATTGAAAATAACAATCACGATCACAGAAATAGTGGCAATGGGTAATGAAAGAAAATCCTGTGGACATGCACACATCAAATTGATTTTTTGAGGTTGAAAGAAAGATTGCCAGACGTTCTGTCTTAGAACACTCGATCAGCATTCAAATAACAAAGGGTTTGGCTTTAGGACTGTTGATCAAAATTTGCTCAAACCTCCCACTTTTTCCACCTTCTTAAAGCGATGAAAGCCTTGGTTATTCATTCATTCTAAACCACGACTGATGTGTGTATGTTTGTGTGAAAGAAACATGTAATCCTATTTTTTTTATTGAATTTGAGATTTTCCCATCGGTTGATTGAACCGAAGTGCTCGGTCTCAGGTTGACATGTCAGCTGGCTTCTTGTGCAGATGCTTCGACGATGTCTGAGCATTTAGTTAGTATTTAATTGGTGGATGGTGACTAGCAGTGGAATCCAGGATGCGCATTTCGTCCTATTTGGGACTCGTCAGCCACTGGATGTACCTGCATTTCTCAGTGAGTGATGATGTTCCCACGAGCCTCAAACCCAGTACCAATAGTTTTAAACACCAAAGCGTTATCCACTAGACCACGAGAGCCACCTCTTGTGCAACATCATCAAAGCATCTGCACAAGAAGCCGACATGTCAACCTGAGGACTTCGGTGCAATCAATCGATGGGAAAATCTCAAATACAATAAAATTAATATAACCCGTTGCACAAGAGGTAGCTTTCATGGCCCAAGTGGTCTAGTGGATAACGCTTTGGCGTTTGAAACTATGGCCACTGAGTTCGAGCCTCGGTAGGAGCATCATCACTCACTGAGAAATGCAGGTACATCCAGTGGCTGACAAGTCCGAAACAGGACGAAATGCGCATCCCGGATTCCACTGCTAGTCACCATCCACCAATTAAACATGTAATCCAATTTGTTTTATCATAGTCCTGATATTTCCTCTGATTGGCTGATTTGACAAAGTATAAAATAAGCTGCGTTTCTTCGAAAAAGTAGGAATCAAGTCAGAGATAAGAAATTTTATGAAAATATGATGGACAAAAGTGTAAAGGAAAGAAAAATAATCATTAGATGAAGACTAGTGAGGAATTTTAGTATACAGATGATTAAAAAGAGTCAGTTTATTGGAGCTACTGTCGAATATTTTGAGGCGTGTCACAAAAAGCTCCAACTGTTTAGTTTTAGCATCCCAATGGACCCCGTCTAAACAATCTACACCTCTCTACTTGGCTGAAAACAATAGGTAAAGACTTCACAGGTATTTATAGTGTAACCTCATTTACTCTACTTTTGTACTTTGAATTGTCTTCCATACTGTTTTAATGCTCTTATCACATATTAAATGAATGCAAATTATAATGGTGTATATGAAATAGTTCGAATCAAATTAGTTTCACAATAAATCAGTCGAGATATCCATTCACTATGCAGTTCGGAACTAATATCAGCCGATCGGCCACTGAAAACCAAGGGGCACTGGAAAGTAGTCTCATTGTAAGTTTGAACTCCTCCATAGCCACCCAACACTACTCATTATCATTCACTTGATACCTAATACAGTAGACCCCAGGAACCATGACTACTCTTTGAAACCTCAGGATATTCTGTCTGAAACTAGTCGGTAATAATAATAAAATAATAATTTTACCTTCACGTTCCCAGTGGAACATAGGGCTTCAAGCTAGTGTCTTGAAGTTTCTGTAGCAGTTTTTATTATTTTTAAGGATCGGGTTGCTAGCCTCATGCCCAACCTTTACTCTTTACCAGCATTATGCCTGGCTTAGTGAGGTAAAGGAGTGCGTCGGTCGGGGATCGAACCTCGGACCATGTGTATGGTCGGCGAGCGTCTTAACCGCTGTGCCGCCAACGCTGTAATAAGTAGGAGGTTAATACGGGAATAAGTTTTGTGTAGACTTCTTCAAGAACTAACGTTAGTGGAGGAATTATTGAAAACCAGAGAGTAGCTGTTACATTCTGCTTGTTGACACTTCACTAGTGCCCATCCATAGCATCACTATGGCATCAATCGACCACCTTCAAGTTATGAACAACTAGGTTAGAATCTAGTGGCCTGTAGAGCTATACTGTAAACAGACAAATGTTAGATATATATATATATATATATATATATATATATATATATATATATATGCTGGGGAATAATTACACTCTGACAATAATCTCTTACATCTAATTCATGTTGTCTTTTCAACTGTTTAATTGTCTCCTCTGTTCGAACTAATTGTTGTCTTAGTTTTACTTTCAGTGTATAATTCTCATTGCGTATTGCGCGGATTTCTGCTCTTGCCTCATTTTCTGAATTACTTAAACTTTGTAAGGCTTCTTTTTTAGCCGCTGAATCACGTGTATTTTGTTCAAACATTACATGTTTCAACTTTTGTCTGTATATCTGTGTGGAAGGAAGAAAATTAAAATCAAGTTAAACTTATTAATAGTGGATAAAAAAATGAGTACATTCCTATTCACTTCATTTAGAGTTTATGAAGTGGTTTACGGTATATGAATTAATACTATTATTCACTGCTTTAGCCCGTAGTGGAATCTAGAGCTTCGATGGCACGTGTTCATTTCACTCTCTTCTCTGAGATGACTCTCAGTTGGCCACACCGCTGACGACAATCTTTCATTTTACCCTTATATGACCTTCCTCATGTCGTGCCCGACATTCAACCTGTTTTCTCAAATTTAAAATATATACGAGGGCCTGATATGTGGTGTCTCCTCAGCGCATGTCTGATTTATCACTATTTTCATCAGCATGTTTTTGGACAACAGGTTGTTGTATAGTTCACTGACAGATTCCCTTCTTGCTAGGCCTTTCTGATCTGTACTGCAGAGTGGAAGTACCTGCTGATTAAAGTCTGCAGCAGCCTGTTGGGAATGCTTTTCATAACTCGTAAGCCAAGTCTCTAAAGCATACAGAAGCAATGACTCAGTATGAGTTTTAAAAATTTAGACCTTGTTCCTTGTAGTGATCAAACACTGAAGATCATAAAACTGATTTTAGAGTAGTCAATGTCCATCATGCTTTTTCTGTCCTGATTGGCTTTGATATAATCATCCGTTTTGCTGGTTTGTGAAACGACACTGTTGGTTCAGGTAAGTGAAAGAGATGACTGTCCTTAGATTTCTCTCTTTGATGGTATATGTTGCTTATTCTTGTAAGTTGAGTGTCTTTATCAGCTCTGTTTACCTGAATTCATGCCTTTTCAGACTTGTTGGTTTTCATGTTGAGTTGTCTTACCTAAATTCGTTAGGTAATATTCATAATTTATAAAACAGTATGATTTTCAATGTAGTGTGCTTCAGTTAACTGTATTCAAATTAAGATCCTGTCCTTATCAATACTGTTGCTGTCAGACAGGTTCATGAAATCTCCAGTGACCCATGAAAAACTGTTACATTTGAAGAGAACAAAACTTGAGGATACAGCTCAACAGCCAAGTGAATAATTCTACGGCATTAGGAACAACTAGTGTTGGGTTCTAATCTTAGATGAAGTGCCGTCACTTGCTGAGGATGCGATTACATCCAGCTAAAAGTATCCATTAGTATCCACCATAAATCAAATGAGATCTGACGCTTAATGGGGGGGATAAAATGAATATTAACAGCATTTTGAAACTTAAATTCTTTAAACTAACTGCAAATAATGTGATTCATTTTGTATTAACAGTTTCTTAGCAATGTGCAACATCCTTGAGTTTCTTGCTCAAAGATATATAAATTGCATGACATTAGCCTTAATAAATTTTGATTTTAAGAAACGTTTGTCTTGAAAATTATCATAGAGCCCAATGAAACACCTAGACACATAACTTGCTTCCACTTTTCTCGGTCAACCCTATCTTAAAACTTAGTTTCAAGACTAATTCTTATGCGTCAGCTATTTGAAGTGACAGAGGTTTTATTATTGGTTTTACATTATGTTTGTTTACGTGGTTACAGTATAGTTATCATCAGTTTGAAGACATAAATAGCCCTACTGGAAATTTTCGGTAAAGTGACTTGTCTTTTATTTATTATTAACTTTATTTATTTATTAACTTACTTATGAAGTATTTACCAACTTTTATAAAAAATGGAATTCAATTAGGCTGTAGGTTTTATCCAATCCGAAGAATGGAAATTTACATCTAACTTACTTAGGAATTGCTAGATCTTCATAAAATCTGAGGTCTCCAGCCGAGAGCTTTTATGATCAATAGAATTTATAGTTGTAAACTGTATGAGTTATGTTTTAGAATCGAGTACAGTGCTAAAGGTCCATTCATATCTTATCTTTACATTAAATGTCTTGATCAGTTTATTCGCCAAAATTCTTTCCTTTTTGAAGTGTTTCGCAATCCCTATATTGATTCTCTTTTCTTCTTCAGTTCACTTTGCTTTTGACTCTGATCTTGACATGCTTAGGGCTCTATATCTAAATTTTGTGTTTCCACTTGAAATTCTGCATGTATATAGTAAGTTCTTGCTTAACTTAACAGGTCAATACATTAAAGGGAGTTCAGAATTTTAGTGTCTATGAGGCTACATGAAATAGAGTTTCATTGTTGTACCGCAAGAAAGGGGCTGATTACACTTTAGCATTCCCTCCATTTGACTAAAATAATTCTTTATCTTTTCTCTTTCTCTCTGAAAACGACTGTCTTCAGAAGAACCACGGACAATCTTATCAATAACTGTAGAAAGATGATGATAGATGAAACATGAATCATCATTTTTTCGCGAAATCAATTATAAATGCGACCCTTTACCAGACAACGTGGCACCTGCTTTCTTGATGCTTCTCTTCCTTGTTGCGTAGATTACTTGGAATATACTCTCGTCTAATCGTTTGAAAGCCCTTCGAGGTGCCAATAGCATTCAAAAAGCCTTAGCTGCTGCTCGATACCAATTTGCCCTTGCTTTTAATTCATGGCTTACAATAATTCCCAAGTCCTTTTGTCCCCTAATATCTGGCAGTTCTGTATCCCCATTGAGTACGACGTGTTTATAGAACTGTTAGATGTTAAGGGACAAAAGGACTTGAGAATTATTGTAAGCCATGTCTTAAAAACAACTGCGACTTGTTTTCGAGCCGCATATAAGGCTTTTCGATTGCTATACTCACTTTGAAGGACTTTCAAACGATTAGACTAGGGTATGTTCCAACTACTCTATGCAACATATTTCAGACTTTATCTAGAATACCGTATACAAGCGGTGAGTCCATGCCTTAAAAAGGAGGCACATATCCTGCAAAGAGTACAGAGGGTAGGAACGAATTTAGTTAGTGGTATCTCATGCCTTCCTTATGACAAGAGGGTGGAGCATTTAAATCTCTTCCCATTATCATACCGAAGGAGGAGAGGTGAATTAATTTTGGCTTAACGTATATTAATGGGTGATTTGGGGATTGACTTTTCAAACCTTTTCTCTCACTCCATGATACACTTATGAGGTCACCACAAGAAGGTTCTCAGACCGAGGTCGAATAAAGTGCAAGTGTAGTTTAGATTCTGGTCGACGACTGGGACTCCTCACCTGATACAGTAGTAACAGCTCCATTGATGAACGCTTTCAAAGACAAGCTGGATCTCTGCATAGGCAATAAGAGCCTTCTATCCTAATAATCTGAATCTGAAGCCACACCTAATGCAAGGACTAACACACACTACTGATTAAAGACTGAATACTGACATGTAGATGTGTGGAGTCCTCAAAAATAAACTTATCCAAATTTTACTACTATGTAAATAATGAACATATTGTACACTACTTTGTTTTAACCATAAACTCTGTACTTTGGACTTTACCTCGGGTTTTGAATAAATATATAGTTTTGCCTTCGACCCTCCGTCTTCTCCACCATCTCAACTGCCGTCGATCAATTTTAATCACCTGCTTTCTATCTCAAATTTTTGCAGGAGCACCGTAGTTCTTCCTACGTACTTTGGTCGACCTCCGGCAACGTCAACATTGGAGAATTAGTACTGGAGTAGTCTTCCCGCAGCACCTGCAGTCTATAACGTTTATTGTGGACTTTGGATCTTTGTAAACCCAAGTAACCAAACTTTAATACATTCTTCCCGTAACTAAACTGATTTGGTACTTTATTTTCTATTTGAATTTGGGTAACTGAGCTAACCGAGTGAAAGGTCCACCACAGATGTGGTACAAGGCAGACCGGATCACAAAGCAGTAATGAATTCTCCGATCCTATTGTGGAGGCAGTCTTCGTGTCTAGAATTATGTGAAAAAGCCTATGTCTTATGCTTTGGAGTTCCGTTTAGTTGGTGGATGAGTTTTGTAAAACTTGATAATGTAATAATTTTGACTGAAAAAGGCAGTGTAACTGAAAAATCAGACACTTCTGATAGTAAAATATAGCACTGTGGATTAGTTTATCAACAACCACAGTTTTACGTATAAAGTTTGTCACATAATTATTTGTCAGTAGTTGCAAGAAATATATGAATACATGCAGTTCATCTGTGAATAACATGACACAAGTTTATATTTGACTAAAATGAAAATGTATTGATAGTGACGGTCACTGTTTCATTATAAAAGACCACACATAAATCGCATCCACAAGCGCTGGATAAAAAGGGAGAAAACAGATCAATGTGTCGGTGGTACAGTGTTAGAACTCTCGCCGATCATGCACATGGTCCGGGTTTCTAGCCCACGCCGATGCACACCTGATATCTATGGTCGACTGCGAAATTTAGGCGACCGACATCACATGCTGAAAATTCCATACTTGTATCGAAAATACGGTGTGGAGTCAAGCTATAATAAAAATAAATAAATAAATGAAAAATAACCTTCATTTCAAGCTGATGTTTTTCATCAGTGTCTTCCAGATCTCTTTCTTTCTTGATAAGAAGTGATCTTGCCTCATCAAGTTGCTTCTTGGTTAGCTCCCAAAATGTTGATATTTTTTGCTTTTCCAGTAGTGCCAAGTTTCTTTCTTGCTTCTCTTTCTCTAACTCTTCTCGCAAGAGTACGACATACGCTTCTATTTCCTCCTTCGTCATGTCCGTTGTGCTCACGTTATTTATTACAATTGCAAACTTGTTCTTCTTCCCTTTTCTTCTTCCAGGTGCCTATGAATAGATGAGATGTAGAAAATAGTTCCATACCATAGCGGATACTAAAGTCTATCTTATAAAAACGCACTTCTCTTCAATGGGTCCAATGGTCTCAACTATAGGTTGTAATGAAATCAAAATTTAAGTAATAAACACAAATTAATATTTTTCACTGCATGGGGATACTCAGGAATCAAATATCTAGACCAAGAGATGAAACCTTAACGAATACATTAAAGATTCTAAGACTGAACCCCCGCAATACATAAGATTGATTATTGTGGAAACCACGTTCTCTGAACAGCTCACGTTCCGCTTCTACTATCTGTGTTCCAGCTGCTGTGCTACTGACCAGGTCATCCTCGGATATTCACAGAATTTTTTCTGGATACCCCTAAGTAAACCTTTCTAGCTTTCTGGATAAAAATCTAAGTGTGCTACCTTATCTCCTACTCATTGACGACCAGAAGTATGAAAAGATATAAATGCGGAGGATGGAAGCATCCCTATTTCTGGCGGGATTGTGTAAGCCTTAAGATATATAAGGGCCCTCCTTCCAATGCATCAGAGTGGCTCTAGACATATGCCGGATTCCAGTGCAACGTGCAGACTGCACTATAAAGTCACCTTTATTGTATAATTGGCATCAATACGAATAAAAATTCCCACTTGTAAACCATGATCAAATCTTCTGGAGGAAACAAGTGACCGTAGGTTTACTAATTCATTCACCATTCTTATCATCAGACTATAGTGATAAATGTGTAGAAATCATGGAGGTACTAAATAAAAACATTTTTCTGCTGAAGGATTCGAGCAAATTTTCGGGCGTGGTGTTACAGCTAGGGAGTGATGACCCACCCGTTTATAAGTGCAGTGAACTTTTCTCATCATTGTTCACTCGCTTGAGTAGATGCCCTGACAACCGATTTGATGTGTCTTTCTCAGTCAAGGTCCTGAAAAATTGGCTTCTCTGCACTTAAATTGATTTTCTCAATTAATTTCAGGTGATCAATATATTTGTAGTAAGTTTTTACTAATCTTTGGATATCACAGAATTTGTCACATGATGTTGAGAAATGTTTACAGACCGTTTCTATATTGATCAAGAGGTACAGCGAAATAGAAATTTGAATTTTGATCAGTACAAAAATAAAGGATAAAATGACTGCGATTAATAAAGTGGGGGGAAAGTGTGGGGAGAAAATGCAGGAGGACAAATGGTAATGGTTTGTTGGCATATATCAACCGTTTACATGAATCACGTACCGTTTTTGTGCAGACACTACCATACTTGACATTAACGTATAGTATATTCAGTTATTAAAGTTGCGCTCATGTTGAGATGTCCAGCGCATCGTTGGTACTAAAAATGTCATAAAAATGAGCATAACTTTTTTATCTACGCCCATACAACAACCCGTCAAACTCTATTGAGACAAAAATATTTAAAAAATAGAAAACATTTAAAGAACTATTTTATCTTTCCCTGGAATCTCAGAGGCGAAATAGCAAAGAGAGCTGGTGAAATTCCTGAGAAGCCTGTTAGCTCCATGATGTGTTCTCTGTCGATGGAAGCAAGAGTAATAATGGGGACGTGAAATAACTGTGCAACGTACGAGGCTGGGAAGGCTGTGCAGGTAGCCAAAGAAATGAGGAGGCATGGCATATAAATGTTGTGAATCTGCGAGAGCAGATGTAATAGATATGGATTATCAAAATTGTCAATCAGGGAGTCAGTAAACGTCTCCGGTCTGGTCACCCAGATGACAACCACGAGCACACTGAGGGAGTGGTTATTACATTGTCACTAGTGGCATTCTAAGCCCTTATGCAGTGGAAACCAATTCTGGAAACTTTTTCAGCACAACGGGTAACCTCACGTCATCATCAGCCTCATTCAACAGCCACGTGACAGGGCCACGTGTTAGGTGATTCTCAGCCAAAATCTCAGCGAGGAGTTTGAAGTGAACAGAGGAGTAAGACGGGGCTGTTTATTATCACCGATGACGTTCGTAAGTGTGGTGGACCGGAGTATACATCAAATTGTGGGAAGCGACAAGACAGGAATATGCTGGGCAACCGATACGAAAACTCCAGAGGATCAGGATTTCGCGCTTGGTTGATATGTGTTTAATGTCACACAAGCTCGAAGACTTACAGACAGAAACCAACAAACTGGCTTAAGAGGCAGTGAAAACAGGATCACAGTTGAACATAGCGAAGATGGTGATGAAGATATCCAACCAACGGCAAAAACAACAACCAGCACTAATCAGTATCAAGCGGAGAGATTCGTTGGAGGCTACTTCCCTCATTTATCTGGCGAACATCGTTTCAAGTGCAGGCAGAACGGATGAATATATATAAAAATTTATAAACCACTCTTTGAGAACTCCACTTGATTTCTTCTGTGCTGCAGTCGTTTGTCTTTTTAACTCTCTCACCGTTTAGGCTTCTGTATGACTTATTGAATGAGCATTAAGAATGTGGATATTTGGCCACTCACAATGACAAAAGATCTGTAAATATTACTGGTTTCATATCCTTAAACTACCTCGTGAATTACCCATTAACTTCCTCCCTGATGCATTCTGGATTATAATAATAACAATATTTTATTTCTGGAACAGAAACCAGCCAGTTTTACAGGCATGAACATATGTACATTTATAAAAACTTATAGAATATATAATATGATTTGTTAATTTAGAAATAAGTTGAATACTGGTAAGTGTGAGAGAAACATTTAAAATGCAGTGTACAAATAAGGAAATAGATACAGCGTCAAATCTAAACTGCGACTGAAAAAAATACATGTCAATTTCAAGCGGGAATTATGAATGACTGCGTTAGCTGAGGAAGGTGAGTAGCATTTCTGTACAGGTGCGGACGTGATACATAAGAGATTCAGAATAAACAATAATTATCAGTAAATGATTCATAAAGTGTTTCAAAGTCTATAAAACTTTAAATTCACCCGTAAGTAAACCATAATTGTGACATTTCCAGTTGTTTATGAGACCGATACTGAACTTAGCAGCAGATTATATAATATAGGTGGCCCGTTATTCACCAGATGAGCTAGCAATATCACGAATAAGTGGAGAACAGCAGGGCTGTATCATTATCTTCGTTGAAGGCAGTACCTGTGAAAATAGAAGAAGACACAAGAAAACCTGCAGAGAGGTGCAGAAGTATAAAAGAAGTGTTAATAATTCAAAATATATACCAGACATGGGGTCCAACATTTATTTTATTGTTATTTTTCAAGAAATATTTTTTCCCTGATATTCTACAGTCTTTTCTGCGAACAATAAGTTTAAGTGAAAGACAGGTGATAATTTCACCTACTTATGTACGTTTAGAAGGAGTCAACACAAAAGTTAGAAAGGGAGAACTTTGTAAAAGAAAAGCGAGCGCAAAGTAATAGCTCTTATTCTGAAGAAAACTGTCAGCCACGTCTCGTAAACTGTTAATACCCAGCTCTTGCTACGCTGGGACTCACGCTGTTCCAAGAGGGTTCTCAGAAACGCTTAGAACGAACGGACGAAAAAACCAGAACCCAGTTGGGCGACTCGAAAATTCTTTATTGTAAAACAGATACATAGCCAACATTAAAACTAAGCTGTAAAATTAAGGTCTATGAACAAATATTACAATAATAAATCACAATATTGCTTCTGACGGTTTATTGCTGACTTCTTTCTGAACAGCGAACGATGAGACGATGACTGGTGTATTGATGCCTCCGCGAAAAATATAGAGGAGTTGTGTTTGAGGAAACAAACATGAACTGATCGTTCAATCTTCAACTACATTCACACTCCCCGACAAAACAGGGATCCATTCCTTTTTTCCATCACGACCAATACACGTTGACTTGGATGCCATTGAGAGAACCTGGGTCACACGGACAGAGCAGAAATGGAAAACAAACAGAAAAGTCAACACACTACACGCATACCCACAGCACAATCTCACACATCAATGACGACCTGCGCCTTCCAGTTAAAGGTATCCCCTTGACATCTTGCAACACAATCCCCACTTGCTAGAATGACTCTTGCAGAATGCAACGTGACCATGGCAGCAACTCACGATAATCTACGCACATCCTCTTATCTACCCACTACCAATTGCCACTGAAATCGCTTGTCACTCATTCTGCCTCAATTCTAGTATCGATGACGTATGCGAGTCTCAGTCGTTTACCCTGTTTCTCTCCGGCGTGTGGCACTGAAGAAAACAATTATCTCCGTATGCATTTCATTCTCAGCAATAGTGTCAATATAGTTGAAGATTGAACGATCAATTCATTGTTGTTTGCTCAAAACCAACTTCCCCAATTTTCGCGGAGGCAACAATACACCAGTCATCGTCTCATCGGTCGCTGTTCAGAAAGAAGTCAGCAATAAACCGTCAGAAGCAATATTGTGATTTATTATTGTAATATTTGTTCACAGACCTAACTAGAAATATTTTTTATACGTTGGGGTTACAATGAAGAATTCTCAAGCGGCCAAACGGTGTTTTGTATTTTTCGACCGTTATTACTAAGCCTTACTAAAAAACTTCAAGCGACAGCGTGAGCCCGAGCGTAGCAAGGGCTGGGTATTAACGGTTTACGAGACGTGGCTGACAGTTTCTCAGGGTGGAAACAGTTTCTGACGAAAAGGCGTCAGTTTTTTGACCGTTTCGGACAGATAGTGACAGTTTGGAAAGTCAACGTTCATCTTTCCTGGTGCCGTCCAAGTCTTCTTTGAACAAGCAATATCTGGAACATTTTTGGAATTGGGCCAAGTTCAACAATGCCTGGGTCAAAGAAGGGACAGAGCGTCTTGGATGCAAACAGGAAAGTAAGTCATGGTGACTTGTCTGTTACTTGTAACGATGTGTCTGATGTTAAGCATGACATGGTTGATGTTACTCTTTCGCCGTTCAGGGATAATAGGAACATCAAACTCCCTAAATTTGAACCACGATGTTTCGACGGAAACCCGGCTGATTATTTACAATTTGTAAAGGAGTTTGAGATCATGCTGAGTGGTATT